GGAAACCAAATTTTAAATATTAAATAGTGCAAAGTTTTTTGGTTTCGAAAAAAACTTTAGATAATGTAAACAGCGGGTTTAAGTACATTATTACTAGGATTTAAGTTAGAGAAGACAAAGTAAAATTCTAAAAAAAGGAGATTAAAACTAACTCTTGCAATGTATATAGGACTATGGCATAGAAATCAGGTTTTGCATAATTCAGTTTTTAAAACAATTGATTTAGTTGAACCTTCAGGTAATCAAGAGGGTTTAATAAACGAATCAGCAAAAAGAGGTTAACCAACAAAAGAGTTTAATGAATTGAGTTCTCACACCAAAATATGATTGATAGCAAATATAGCATTTGATTCAAAAACGTAAACCGTTAAAAAAAATTGTTATTTGTACAAAGAGTTTGATGAACCGATTTCTCACACCAAACGACGATTGATAGCAAATATAGCATTTGATTCAAAAACGGAATCTTTTAAAAAATATTGTTATTGGCAACACCATTTAATAAACGTGGCTACAATTTTGTCAAGTTACTTAGTGTCGTTATAAAGAGACAACACGAATTGTTATTGCTTTACACTCAGATAACCACGTTGATAGAGAAAATGACGTCTGAAGAAGCTTTCCCATATTTCTCGGATAACAAACTTTAAAAAGTGTTTATGAAAATACTCATGCAGATTTCCATCTTGTCGAGTAATTTCAGAAATAGAAAACAAGTGCTCATCTTTAAAAACATCCGTTGAAGTTAATGAAACAATGGCCAGTTAAACTACAAGATCTTACGGATCACACATTCAAGAGACTTGTGAAACTACAGGAAAGAGAAATTTTAAAATATTTGAATAAAAAAAAAAAGACTTTGATGAATTAATACCCAAATACTAATTAGTTGTTGGGGTATGAAAACGGAATGTGTTGTCACTCAAAATACAATTAATAATCAGTATAATCTATTAAGTTAACAAATTCCTGTGACAATTGGTTCGAAACAATTGTCACAGGAACATCAACTCTTAGGCTATATGTACAATCAGATTCAAAAAAAATTTTATGGAATAGTATAATGTCTCAGAGTATTAGATGAACCAAGAGCTAGTGGATCAGGAATTAGTAATACTGAAAAATTATGTTGACGTGATTTTTATGTGACCCTTAGCAAAATTTTAGAAATTAATCAGATTACATAATATTGTAATTGTAACCTATTGCAAAAACCCAATCGATTCGGAAAAAATTAATAAATACTGCAACGATGCATATAAAAAGTTGTTGGAGACATATGATTGATTCCAGGTCCCAGTTTCCCATCGTATTAATATTAAAAATATTAGCAAATGCTGGGGAAGCTGTTATTAATTTACAAGTTACAGTTGGTTTATTTGATGAGGAAGCACCTAAATCTTGACAAAAAAAAATCTGGAAAAAAAAGTAGAGAAACTTATTTGATATTTGAAGTATATAAACTTATGATTCCCTAATTAGTAGAATCTCATTAACTAAAAGATTGAAAAGTAAGAAACCTTGCGCAAACCAGAAAAGATTAAAAGTTTGTTAGCAGTTTATAGCGGTGATAGAGAAAATTCATCTGATATGGAATCAGATGAAATTAATGACTTAGATGAATTATATTTAAATGATGACAACATTGACAAAAATCTAGAATTAGATATAGGGGAAAGCGGGGCAACATGGCGAATGGGGCAAGATGGGTTTTCATATAACAACTCAACAAAAATTTTTAAAATTGGGTGAAAACGAAACTGTATTTGCATCTTGTATTTTAAAACACCAATTGGTTTTTTGAAATATTATTAACGCCATTTTATACAAATAAGTTTACTTTTTGCGCTAAAAAAAAAAATCCTCACTTTCGTTTTCTCATAATGGTTGGTGTCCCTCAAGTTTAACTTCTTTAGGAGTAGTTTTTACAATTTGTGTTTATTTTTTGTTACTTTAATTAGAGTTATTAGCAGTTTTTAAAATTTTATAAAATTGGAGGTAAAAATTGCGTGATAAGTCATCTTGCCCCGGTCACGTGACCAGATGACAAGTTTATGACCTTTTTATTTTAATATTTATTTCAAATTGTTATATTTGCAAACTGAAAATTCATGCAGGAAATGAAAAAACTTAATGGCATAAACATACTGAGAAAGTATTATGGCTTCACGACTTTTCGGTAACTCAGGGCTTTCAAAACGTTCGCCATGTTGTCCCGCTTTCCCCTATATATGTAGAAGAATAAAGTTCTAAACTCTATAATCTGTATAATGTATAACTTTATATTTGTTTGCCTAATATGAAAATTTATTAATTATTAGTTGAGAATTAAAACGAAAGACTTTAGTTTAATTTAATTTAGTTTTGATTTAATAACCTGTAAAAGTTCAAAAGATATACATGCAGTAACTATAATCAAATTTTTACCCCAAATTAAGGGTGTTGTACATTATCATAACTTTCAGAGAATAAAAGGTTGATCAAAAGAAGTTAAAACCTGTCAATGAATTTAAATTAATTATAAGATAGCAGCAAAAAATCTTTTTTTGATCCCGGGTTTCAATCACCGCAAATCATAATTTTTTTGCAATATATATATATATATATATATATATATATATATATATATATATATATATATATATATATATATATATATATATATATATATATATATATAAATTATGTTAATGTATTCTACAAATACAGTGCTCAATGGCCGGCGAAATGGGTGTGTGACCCCCCCCCCCCATACTAATGATTTATTCGTTCATTTCGTCGGCATTTTTGATTAGTTAGCCGGAAAATATAGACCCTTTAGACTAGTTAGTCGGTAAATTTAGACAGTCAGTCGGCAAATGTCGTAATGGCATTCAGCAAATTTTGAAAAATGAGAACCTTTTTTTTTTTTTTTTTCTTAGTCGGCAAAAGTTGTAATGGCACCCCACAATACACCCAACCCTCCACGTGACACCTACTCGCGCCGGCCCTGTATACATATATATAAATATATATATATATATATATATATATATATATATATATATATATATATATATATATAATATATATATATATATATATATATATATATATATATATATATATATATATATATATTTAATTTGTTCATATGCATTTCAATCTGATTTGAAAAGTATATAAGTGTGTATTTTGTTTTAAAATTGAGGTTTAAGTTATTTTTTACTTTTTAACATTATATATTTATGTCTTTATTTTTTGTTTTATCTTTTTTTTTTTGAAATTTTCTTTAATAAATAAAAGATTTAAATTAATTTAAAATTATTTCAATGTTTACTTTAACCTCACATTCTAAACTTTTTTTTTATGACTTTTTTTTAGACTTTTACTTTTAGAGTAAATAATTCAGCAAGCATGCTTTTGTAAGTTATGAATTTTTAAGTTTGATGTTTGGGTACTTGCCCATGATATGTTTGCATAACTGGTGAAGCAACAAATAAGCCAAGAATATATTAGTTCAACACTTTGTTTATTGACGGATAAGCAAACTCGATACATTGTGCCAACAATTATGGTAATTTTAGATTGGATATATTTTATTTGAGGAAACCAGGATATATGTTCATCAACAAGAATTTCTAAGAATATTATACTTGCTTTTTTAAAAAATAATTTATTATCTAGGCTAAGAGATGAGGCAACTTAGGAAAAAAGTTTTCTTTTTTTTAAAAAAGCATTTTATAGTTTTTTCGACGTAAAGTAAGAGTTTGTTAAACCAATTATTTACTTTTTTAGTTCAACATTCATATTTGCATAAAGTATCTTAGTTATAATAATGTTAAAAAAAAATGAACGAAAAGCAGAAACAATTTTTTATATAAATGTAATTAGAGGGGATTCTAGAAATAAAATGAAGGGGTAAGAACGAATGTTTACAAACTGCTGACTGCTTTCTGATAATAAAAAAAAGTCTCAAAACTAAAAATCACCCCACTTAAATGTATCAAAAGCCAAATAACCGACTAAATTCCTAAAAAAATTGATTATAACTTTTAAGCCACCCTCCTTAGAACGGGGTGGGTTAACCCTACCCCTCCCTTCTTCCGCCCACATCTCGTAGAATCGACTTTGGCTTTATTATACAGTTGTATTATAAACAATTTGTATTCTCTTTTTTAAAACACTCATAATTCACTTTAATGCAAAATTTGATTTGTTTTAATTTCCGATTTTTAACGTTTTTAAAACGTTAATATAAAAAGTTTTTAGAAAAACATTAAAACTTTGATTTATGAATATAAAAAAAGTACAGTTTGAATTTATTTTAGTTTACTTGTAAACTACTTGAAACTTGTAAATTATTAATTGTTATTTAAAAATATATATCTTCATTTAAATGCTCTGTAAGCAAATAATACTTAAACTGTACGAGTAAAACGATAATATGTGTTGCTTCAATAAAACCGATAGGCAAAGAAATATGTATTATTGTGTTTTATAAAACCATGACAAACCATAGTAGTTTTGTTTTATAAATAAGTACGAAACAAACAGGATTTTTTTTCATTTATAAAAAAATCGGCACAAAATAATTGACGTTTTCATTTTTATTCTTTTTAATTTTATCAATATTTTAAAATTAAATATGCATTAGATTTTGCGAGATAATGCATTAGGTGTTTTGTGTTTATTAAACCATTTTATGTTTCAAATCATTTATTTATTATTACTACATTATAATCAATAAATTTTTTAATACTTATGTTCAAATGAACTTTTTTGTTTTATGTGTTGAAATAAATCTATTTTAGTCTTTTTTTTATTCATTGCTGAGTATAAAATTTGTTTGGTTACGTCGGAGTTTTTTTTGTATATTATGATTTTTGCGACCAAATAATAAATGCATTTTATGAAAATTTCATTATGTTTAATTATGGGTTAATGCCTCATAAAACAAATTAGTGATTTTCTTTATTTTTTATTTAATCAAAAATATTTGAGAAATTTTTTTTTTAAATAACAAATAATTAAAGTTTCTTTTTCTTTAGTGTTAGCGTTATGTTATTTTTTTTATTATCAATTTATGTGGTACGATGTGGTGCTGAATATAAAGGAAGTGGTGCCATATACATGAAAAGAAACCAACAGGGTGATAAAGTTTCTCTTGGAACATTGAATAAACTTACAAAGTTGCAGTGTGTACACGCATGTATTAAAAACAAACGATGTTCATCCTTTATTTTCGACAAAAAAGACATACATCTTGGAGATTGTGTTTTACAAGAAAAAAATGAAAATATCCAAACTTCTATTTTTCAAATAGAACACAGCTTGCAAAACTATGAAATATTTGAAAGCTTTTCTTTAAGTAATGTTCGTACCTTATATTTTCCTAAAAGATTCAATGTCTACTTGCGTTAACTTCTTTATTTAAAATATTATAAATACTTTAATTTACTTTCACTTATATATATTTTTTAAGCTAATACTTTTATCATTATCATCTACAATTGCTTTTTATTATCTTCTTTCAGTATATAACTTATTATGTTCTTTCAGTATATAACTTATTATGTTCTTTCAGTATATAACTTATTATGTTCTTTCAGTATTTAGTTTATAATGTTCTTTCAGTATGTAGTTTATAATGTTCTCTCAGTATACAACTTATTATGTTCTTCCTGTATATAATTTATTATGTTCTTTCAGTATGTAATTTATTATGTCCTTTCAGTATATAGCAGCTGTCAAGAAGGGTACGAAAATGGAAATAGGTTGTCAGGTAATTACTTTTTAAGCAATGAATTGAACTGGCATTTTTGCAATATGGGTGAGCTTAAAAATTGTGGAGTTGGAGGATGGACGTTAGCGATGACTATTGACGGTAAAAAGGTATAACCATTTTTTTCAAATATATTTAATGTTACAAAAAAGAAAAAGAAAGGTTATATACAATAATATATAATAATAAAAAATTATATAGTATTATTATATACAAAGGCGGTTCTACGAATAAAATAAGGGGGGGGTTGAATCCTCAAAAAGTACCGACTAACTTCTAAAAAAAAAAAAGTGTCCTCAAAACGAAAATTCAACCAACTGAATTGCGTTAAAATGGCGACCAAAGTAGTAAAAAAAACCGGCTATAACTTGAAAATCACCTTCTTTGGGGAAGTGTAACACCCCCCTCCCACACACACCCCTCCCCCGTAAAATAGCCTCTGATTATATACTATTTATGTATAATACATATAAAGTAAGGCATTTTAAATATAAACTAATTAAAATTAAATTTACGCCAAACAAATTTTTTTTCAGCCAACATTTGCATGGGACTCGCCGTATTGGCTTAATGATGCTATTTACAATGTTGAAAAAGGGTTTTTATCACCCTTTTTAGAAGAAGCAAAATACCCAGCATTTTCATATTTAGAATTTTCTGAAATATGCCTTGGCATGAAATCTGGTACGAGCGAAACCTCATACATGAAAATTGCTCGTTCTAATAAAAACACTTTAAAAAGAATTTTCAACGATAAATTCACAAGTATTGAAAATGGACGTGAGTCGTGGTTAAAACTACTTAATGGATCAAAACTTCAACCTGATTGCTCAGGAACAAATAATGAAGGATTTAATATACAAGGAAAAGCAGCTAATCTTAGACTTGGTATCACGTGCTATGACGATAATCCTGAATGGAGCGACTCCTGGGTTGGATTGGGCGGTCAAGATTTGTTTTGCTTGGAAACTGAGTCTATGCAGGCACAATCATCTGCGGGGAATCAATGTTGCTCAAATGAGTGCAATGAATTTTCTTTGAAAGCAATGGCTTATTTATTTATAAAATAAAACGCTCTTTTAAATTTTACAGGCATTTTTAAATTATTCTTAGTTTAAAATTTTCTAAGATTAAAATTTAATAAAAATTTTCTAATTTAAAATTAATACCAATCTATATATATAAAGTAAGAAGATTTCAGAAGATTTTATGCTTTTTACAGAAAATTGCAAAATAAGTTTCGGCAGCTGTTATGATAAGTTTTATGATATATAAATCAATTAATGTAAATTACACACAGTATGTAAATTATCCGTATTATGAAAAATATATGTAAAATATCAAAAGTATGTTGTATAAGTTATGAAAAAAAGGAAAAGTATTTTGAGTAATTTTTTTTAATACAAAGAGTGTTAAGATCGGTATCAACGTTCTTTTCTGTTTGTCACACACAATAATCTTTCTAAATCTTTAACCACGAAACTACTTGCTGATGATGCTAAATCTCATCTTTAAGAAAAGAAGATAATGATCGAATTTATTTAAAAAACGATGATACAATTTTAAAACATTGATGTATTAATATTAAAAAACATTAATGTATTAATTGGATATTCAAATATATTATAAATAGATTAACATAAATAATAATTTAAGGGATTAACCTAAGTAAATGGCGTTTTATACGAATCGGAAGAATAAATAGTAGTTACAAATATTGCATGAAACAATAAATCCAAGACCACACCTAAAATTTGCAGCTCCAGCATTTAGCCTAAATAATAAAAAAATATCTAAGACGTGAAAAAAGTTCCAAGACGAGCATTAAAATAAAACTGAAACCTTTAAATAGAAGAACCTTAGTCTTTCTGCACAACTTAAATTTTATCTATTTACATTTTACAACGATCAAACAAAAACTAATATAATGTAAATATTAAAGTTTTGGGTAATTGTAATATTAAGTTTGGGAGTATTAAGAGTAATGTGTTTAAAAAATTAACCAAATTGATAAGACAAAGGATAAGATAAATGAGACAAAAAAAATATTTTGTTTTATTTTAAAAAGAAATACTCGCAAAAACAAGTTTTTGGACAAGCAATAGATATTTGGTTGATCTCAGAAATCCTTGAGTTAAATTGTAATGTACTGGCATCTTTTTTACAAACACTATTTGTAGTTGATGTGGCAATGGGTAAATATTTATAACAATTTTTTTGATTATTTTTTTGATCATTTTTTGCAACATTTTCAAATTGTCAACTTTGACTAGTTATTGTTACTTTTATTAACTTACAACCTATTATAATAACATTTCATGGTTTACTGTAATTAGACGCTTTTTTAATGCCTTTTTTTTTTGTATTTTATTTGAAATTATGTTTGAATAGATTGATGCTTAATAATAAATTGATTGTAATAATTGTTGTATTAAAATTTGGTGTAATAGGTTAATTTGGTATAGCCAGAATGTAATCAGGAATATAAGAGGTTATTACACCGCAATCAATCTCAATATAGTTATTCTTTTTTAAACTGCAATATAACACCTTTTCTTCGTTTCGTTTAAAATCAAAGGTATGTTAAAGAAATTTTGAATAAATATTTGCAAAACTGTTTAATCTTTTTTATAGTTTAGTTGGTAACTTTATCTTTAGGGAATTTAGTTGCTACTGGTTTGTTCTTGTTTCCGTTTCAGGTTGTATTTAATTTCCTTTGCGGGCTTCAAGCCGAAAAGTATCTATGATCAGTGCGATGTGAGTTCATAAAAGAATGAACTTAGTATTACTGAAAAATAAAGATTTTTTTCCAGAAATTATGATGCTAAAGATTGATAGAATAATTGTATGATATTAGCAACTGCTTGTTAGTATTTTTTTGTTTTCCAGACGTTTTGAAGAACTTTTTTGTTATACAAAATGTTGCAAAGGTTTTTTTCTTGGATAGCAGATACTCCTAATTGAATAAAGATACCTACCATGTCTTTGGTGGTACCACGCTCAACTTATTTCTTCGCGCAGTGGCCTTTTTTGTTAAGGTACTATTTCTGTCCCTGCATCCTCTAAAAAATGTTGTTCGTCTAATTTTTTCCCGCACTTTAACCCTTTGGTTGTTTTTTTTTACTCATACAACCTACAACTTTTCAAGTCTTCTATCAACCGTTTCCTTGCCCTTTAATTCTTTTTAACTTTTTTTTTTCTTTCTAGTAACTCTAAACTTAATAGTGGCTGCTTCCAGCCTAGTTGGGAATGAGCCTTTCGTCGACACTTACTTCGAGATATTGGGAATAAGAAATACATATTTTGAGGGATAAGAATTTTTTTTTTTGTCCTTTATGGTTTTAATAATTTGGTTCGATTAATTCACTTTTTTTTAATCTGCTTATTAAAATGCTCTAAGAAGTCCTTGAGGCCATCTTGAACGGGCGGTGTAGGTGGTGTCTTACCTCCAAAGCTGTCATATATACATTAGAATTAGCGCTTTGAGCAAATTTTGAACTATAGCTGGCAAATTGCAAATAGTGAGATTTCTTTTTTTAGAGGTGCCTCTAGTTGGCAAAAAATACAAACAACATCCCCCCTCCTTCCCTCATGGAAGACATCTTCAGGACGGCCCTGTATATGTATACATTAAATCAGTCAGAAATAGATAATATAATAATCCTTAAATCAACAAAGTGAAAAATTAAAAAAAAAATTATTTACTTATTGCGCTTTTGTTTTTATGCCATGTTAAATTGAAAAATCTAGTGTCACGTTACAAAAATATTTTTTCAGGCTTGATGATAGTTAAAACTATATTTAATACATAAATATATAAAAAAAAAATTATAATGATATTCGTATAATAACAATTATATGATATCAAATTTATAGCTTAAAATGTTAAGTTTCATGCTATGTTTCATGCTACTGGCAACATTGGGAAATATCAGCACTTCTTCGTGTAATGAAAATGTTCCAACATACATGCTCGATCTTGAAATAAAACCTGAACTTCGATGGTTTGAAATAACTAAGAAATACTCTCAATTCGCTGATACTATACGAAGCGTAATTCAAGAAATAATTCCTGAAAAATATATTAAGCTTGTTGAAACAGCTATTAACATTTTTCATTTAGAAAACTATTTCCCTAAAGAATATGCATCTGAGTTAGTTGGTGTAGCCAATGGATTAAATTTAAGTTTGCCAGAAGTATTTCTAATCAATGTACTGTATGAAGCTGGAGCTTTATGTACTAGTATTGTAGCAAAGAATGAGAATGGGACAATATTTCACGGAAGAAATCTGGACTATGAGTTCTTTACAGTCCAAATTTTAAAAAATTTAACTGCCAATATTGAATTTATGCGCAAAGGTATTGTTTTTACTTAATCGTTTTTATATAAAAAAAAAAATGTTTAGTTCTATTTTAGCTCCATTTTTTATAAAAACATTGTCTTGGCCTTATCTCCCAAAAAAAAAATCTGAGGTTGTTGTAATTAGGCAAGCTGAAAAAAAGTGGCTTAAATAGCTGGCTTTTATCACAAAAAATATTTATGCGGACTTTTTTTAAAAATATGGGAATAATTTATTTTTTTGAAACAAATTTTAACAAAAATAATAAAGTAATTCATATTCGTTTTTCTGTTTTTTAATATCATATTGTTTAAATAAAAATGGAGCTAAACAATTTGACAGAAGGGCCGCTCCAAAACGAGAAAATCTGTTTCCTGACTCCAATGATTTAGGGACCGTCTTAAATACTTGCAACATGAAATATTATATATGTTAGATGCCTAACTTCGATCCGAAAAGTGAAGCAGCTTTTTTGCTTTAAGTAGAAACATATATATACAGTTGCGACAATGTAAATAGCACACTTTTATGACCAGATGATTTAACTTTTAGATATCAAGTTTTATGTTTTTATAGCAATTGTTGTTATTTTTTATAGCATTAACAATGTTTACTTTTTTGAATGAAACTACTTCTTAGACATATATAACAATCAAAATTACTTGTTTTGAATATTTTAGAGGTCGGCTTCTATAATTTTTATAGAAAAGGACAAATGATAATTCCTCAACAGGGTGTGCTTTTTAAATTGCCCGCTTATTCTTTACCTCTAAATCATTTTTATGATTGAATTTTTTTTTTAAAAAAAGTTAATTTATTTTTTCACTCAGAAATGTTATCTTCTAAAACTAATAATTTATTAAGCTAAAAAATTTTAGATCTCAAAAACTCAAATCTCTTGAAAATATATCATTACATATTAAATATCAATCTGTGTTATCTATTTTTTCGCCACAATATATTTATATATTAGGGTTTTAGAAAAAAAGGCAATGTCTCTAAAAAAAAAGAGTCTTAGCTCATCATCTGCCAAAACTATGATTTAGTACAAAAAAAATTTTTTTTTTTAATTTTTGAAAATTCTAAGGGCTTCTTCAGGGGGTAAAAGGAACAATTTTAGGGGTGTTTTATACCACTTTTAAAACTGTTTATAGGAAGTCTTGACAATTTTTAAATTTTTTTTATATTTATGTTTGTTAAGACTATAATAAGAATATAATGGGTTTTATTCTCAGAAAAAATTTAAAATTTATAAAGTTGGAGTTTAAAATTTATAAATGGAGTCTTCATCCATTGGTTTTCTATCTTTCCATGCCTAAGCATGTCAAATATCAACCACGACTTTTCTGTTATTAATGGAGTCAAACTAGGAGGCTCGTCTTTACTGAAGTTGAGGCTATTCAATATAGCTTGGTCCATTACCCGTGCTCCAAAGAAAAACTGTATCTTGGACATCTTTGTAAACTATACAGTTTTTTGGCCATATTACCACGTTCCATACATTCTTTCATATCCTTTCATACAAGCTTTCATATCCTAATAAATAATGTTGATTAACATTTTAAACTACTTTAATCAGTAATGAGCTTTCTAATTTATGAAAAAAATACTAAAAGACTGACACCTGTGTTGGTGCCTAAGAAATTAACTCTGCTTTTAGAAACCACTCTGTATAGAAAAGACAAATGCATAAAGCCGTACCAGTTATTTCTTCTTATATTTGTTTGTCAGGTTTTGGATTTTATTCATTAAAAGATACAATTTTAAGTTGTATGAACCTTTTCCCATAAATCTTGAATGGTGAACTGGTCCCGGTAAGTGAAATTTAAACCTATTTGATGATAGAACCATTAAAGAAAGTTCAGCTAGCTCATTGTATTGTTTTCTTATATTTTTGTCCTAAAGAATTTTGGATATATTATAAATTTATAATGAATGTTACTTTTTAAAAACTAGAATTAATAGAAATAAATGAATAAAAATAAAAATATCACCTTTAAACTGATCACATTATGGCAAAACTGAACAGCAGCTAGTTTTTGATTAAATACCCATGTTCCAGGTAGTATTATTATTCTTTTCAGTTCCTTAGTTTCAGCATCTATTTGAGTTTTGTTTTAGAACTTCAAGTAGATTGTTTTCTGGACCAGAAATTTCGCTGCTTGGGTAAATCTTCCACAAATGAGCAACGTGTCGCTCAATTAAATGATGTCTACATACAATCAACAACAATCGATGTTGAACTTGATGAACTGATCTCATGCAAGTACTTTACCATCTTCCTGTATTTGCTGAAGTTGTGTCAAAACAGAGACATTTAACCTCATCTATTAATCCAAAAAAGCTTGCTTTTGATTAACCTCTAAACTAGAATCTATTGAAGGAATGCCAAGTAGTTCTGTTTTCGCATCAATCCTTACCAAAATTGCAATTCTATCTTTTTTTAATTGCTTTTCCTCTGTTAATACATTAACTATTTTTCCATCAAAGTGTATAGTCATTAGTGAATCTGATGATATTACAGTGTTTTATATGTATTCCTTTATTTCTTTAGCTCTGACAGATATTTTGTTCTCTGCAGCTCTATAAGTTGTGGGTTTAGAACAATCAAAGTTTGCTTCAGAACCACCAGCCGTACAATAACAATTATAGTCAATGCTGTACGTTGTTGGGGTATTATACCTTCTTCCACTTCAATATAAGTGGTTGACTGAAAAATATTTTTAGTAAGAAGAACAGTATTTTGAACATTAGGGTGCTCAGTAAAATTAAAGTCAACATCTTTTTCCTAGCTGACATTGTCCCTACAATCCTTACTAAACCTAAATTCCAAAAAATTGTCTCTATCGTGTAAATTGATATTTAAATAACGGGTATTTCGAATCGACGTCCACTCATCAAAAGAAATTGAAAACGTAGTTCCACTGTTAACTTCTTGGCTCAATTTATTTCTTATACTATTCTTTATATTGTTTGAGAAATCAAGTTCCATTTTTTTAACAGTGTTTGGAGATTTAGGTATGTTGACAAATTGCCTCATAGCCAGTCCAGCACGTATATCAAAAGAAGTGCATATTACGTTAAAAAAAATCCCATCTTTAGCTGTTAATCTTGCAAGCACCTCAGACAACCTTTCTTCTTTATTCATATTCGATGAAAAATATGAACTCATTTTACTTTTTTTACTCAGTGGCTCTTCTTCCGATGTCGGACAACGTGCTAGTTCTGCTTTTAAATTTATTTTATGTAACTGAAGAAGATGAGAATGCAGAGCATTTGTTGAACCCCCCGTAATTTTCAATACTTTTTTGCAATGGCTTAGTTTACACATTGCTGTTTCACTTTCGTTGTTGCGTAGAAAATGTTTCGATATAGGAGTTTTGCTGTTGAACTCTATGAAACTTGACATAGTATCCTAATTTGACGAATCAAAGAAAATATAATAATTTATTAACAATTTTAACTTTCTTATTAAGGTGAACTTTTAAAGTTCAATAAATTAAAATAAATACACTCAGTTATTACAAAAACATAATATAAATCAATACAAATAGATTTTTATTTTTTTTTCTCATTATTGATATTATTATTTTAATTATTTATATTATTATTATAATTTAGTTTTAATAATTAAAATTAGTTTCCTACTATTTCCTCATAAACGCGTCAGTATACTGGCGTTATCACTATATAACAGATGTTATCACTACTGCAGTAGTGATAACAATATATAAGATTGATTAAACTTACTTTAAACTTATAAGTTAATAAGAAAACTTTGCATTACATTGGTGATAAATAATATTACAGCTTTGTCATTACTTTTGTTTTATTTGACGCAATTTAAACGCAGATTTTATTCGTAGTTTTATAAATTCTAAATCCCGGGAAATCCCGGGATATTTTTGAAATAATTCCGGGAAATCGGGGTTTTAAAATTCGGCGGGATACCGGGATTTCAAGATCCCGGGATCCAAGATTGCAAACCCTTGAGCAGATCCCATTTTATTTAGATTAAATAATCCTTAAAAACATAAATATAAAAAAAAAAAATCAAAAAGTTTAATGTATTTAATTCCTCTAAATAAACTTTTAAAATTGTTTGAGATCTTCTTAGTCATGCTATTTCTTAAATATGTTTTGATTAACTTTAATTAGCCAAAGGATCTTTCTGCACCAGCAGGGCCGTACTGGCACTACCCACTGCCTCAGGTATTGTCATCACCAAAATTGCTGTTATTATTATATAATATTTTTATAAGTATTATGTTGGCTAAATCTTTTATTTAAGTTGTTTCTGTAGTATAATTTTTAATGAAAATGATTGCATTAATTATTACCTAGACAATTGCATTAATTATTACCTAGACAATTGCATTAATTATTACCTAGACAATTGCATTAGTTGAAATCGTCAGGTAATTCTGTCGTAATAATTTAGCTGATTCAATTAGATTATCTTCAAACAACTTTAATAAGTTTTAAGGTTTTATAAAATTAAAAAGAATTGAAATTTTTTCCATTTAAGTAAATCTATTACTTATAATATTCATTATAAGTACTAGATTTACTTGGAAAAATAAAATAAAACTAAATAGAAAAAAAGTTGAGCTCTCTCTAATTATGTCTCTGATAGATGGGTATGTGTAATAGTTCTTCAATAGTACAGTTTTTAAACTGCATTTTAAATAAATAAATAAATAAAAATACGCCACTCACTATGTAGGTACTAAACGCTAAGTTCACCAAACAAACTTTAAACATCATTACAGTAGCAAATGAGATCTCAATTACTGTAGACAAATATATGCGTGCCAGGTAAAAATAAACACTATTGCTTCATAGGTGATTCAAGAAACTCAGTGTGTTTTTTTGAAAATTATAATTTCCACACTGGATTGTTTAGATCACTCTAATTAACAAAGTGAGGGTCAAATGCTGATTCATTGGTGGTGCTAGACACAAATTAGTCTTCTAAGACATGCTGTCATCATTCAAAGAGCCATCAACTTTTGGTAGGTCTGCAGATGAAGTGGGTGCAGGAAACTTATCTCCATGCAGTATAGGCCAAATTTTTAACGACCTATCTAGATATTTGATGTTTATTCCAGTCTTTATAAAACCACCAACTTCTGCTTGGCCTAAAAACACATTTCGTTCAAATTATTTTCATTTTTGAGTTATTATAATGAGACAAAATTCCGTATTTCACGATTACCAACAGTGTAATAAGTTTTGATTTCACAATTGACAGCTTTTTGGCCAAGATGTCTTTGGCCTTGGCTGGAGTGAGTGTACATACAGTGAATGAAACTTTAGATATTTGAAAAATAGAACTTTTTTCTTGACTAGAAAAGATTATGTTAACAAAACTGAATGGTCTTTGAATGATGTTGCTTTTAAACTATTGATGGGTTTGAAAAGCTCATTGTAGCTTTTTTTCCTTGCAGTTTTTCTTCATTTTCTTGAACCTTCAGAATCTTAAAATATCATTTATTTTTAAAATCTTCATCATTTTTGATCGAATTTTATGAAAATCATTAATACTATTGAATATTCAAGTCAAATTAAATAAGTTTGAAAGATGATAATTACTCAGTTAGTATAAAAAATATACACACACATTGATTCTATATACACAGATCGACAGATTTTTATAAATAAAAAAAAAATTTGTTTAATTTAAATTTTTTAGATCAATATTAACTTAAATTTAATAAGCTAACAAAGAAACTGTTTAACGTCAAAATACATTTGCTGATGTCTAAAAAACATTTTAGACATCAGTAAATTTAAAAAAATTTGAACATAACGTGGTCAAACGCAGTCGATTAAAAACTCAGCTAAGTCAAAATAGATACATCAAAAATTATAATTTTAACATACACTTCTTTTAGTTGATATCTCTAGTTTTAATTCGACTTTTTATAAACTATTTGAAATTTTTTTTTTTTTTTTAATTTTTTTAATACTTGTGTTCATTTTCATGATTTTTCTACTTTAATTTTTTTTTTTATAACTCTACTATATTTATATTACAATGTTTTTGTTTACAGGTAACCTAATCTACAAATCGACAACATTTATCGGACAAGTTGGTTTTTTTACTGTAATGAAACCTAATAAATTTACTGTTACATTAAATCAAAGATTAAATTCAAATAAATTGATAATTTTATTAGAAGCGATACTTGACAGGAAAGCAAAAACTGCTGCAGTAAGTTTTTCAAGTTATAAAATTTTGATCAAAAAACCACGGCGTTAACTTCAAAATCAAATAAAGAAAATGTTGTCTTATGAGCGTAATGTTGCATATATATATATATATATATATATATATATATATATATATATATATATATATATATATATATATATATATATATATATATATATATATGTATATATATATATATATATATATATATATATATATATATATATATATATATATATATATATTAGACTGCTTCATTTTGAGGTCATGAAAGAATTTTAAGTACCATGGAGTGTTATCTGCTGCGATGACCCTTATTTTATTAGTAGAATTTTTTTTTTTTTAATTTTGACCACTTTTAGGGGTTGCTCAAATGCCTCAAAAGTCAATTTTTAGGCTTTTTTACCCTTTTTTAACCCATTTTTCGCACGTTTGAGCAAGTACTAAAACTCAAAAAAATTGAATTTTTTTTTTTTCTAGAGTTTTTTCTAAGTTAGAATAAAAAAATTAAAATGCATGGTAATTTTATTTTATTGAAATAATTTGTGTAAATTTATCTACAAAAACGCAAAGTTATGCAGATTTTTACCGAATATTACGCATTGCAATATCTTTATGGATATGTTAAGCCATTTGGAAAAAAAAAAGCCTGACTATGTTGCATAAAACATCTATATATAGCATTAAAGGTCTATAAAAACTTTATTATATTGCATGAAACTTCATTAAATTACATGAAGCGAAAAAAAATCTAATTATATTGAATAAAACGTCTAGCAATTTTGTTTAACAAATTTCTTTATAATTAAATTTCTATAAAATTTATAATTATTTTTTAAAAATGTTATGTTTTTATATTGTTTTTTTTTTTTGTTTTTCTTGGATTTCTTAGTTTTTCCTCCATACTTCTTTTTGCAATTATGCAAAAATAAAAGTGAATCCTGTCTTTTCTCTTCTTTTCGGGCAATATCAATTTTGTCTTTAATGAGTTTAACGATTCTTTCCGGGCAATCATTAAGAACTGAAAGATTAAAAACTGCCTCCTGAAATTTTAAGTAGAAATTGTTGCAAGTCCAATATTCTGGAGGGGTTTTCATCCATTGACAGTCACTTTTACTTTGGCCTATCATAAGGAACAATAGCCACGAATTTTCTGTGACCAAATGAACTAAGCTGGGAGGCTTTGGTCCAATGAAGTCTAAAGAATTGAGGACCTCTATGTTAGCACTTATTCGGGCTAACAGATATTCATCCATACTATGAAATTCATAGCTGTATAGTTTTTGAGCAATATCGCCTCTTTCTTTACATTTTTCATCAGCTAGAGCTAGTACAATAAGGTAAGGGTCCAGAAACCATGTGTGGCGTTTGATAGATTTAATGGCTGATTCTGCCCCAATCAAATTGTACTCCTTAAACCTATTCATTTGCCAAAGCGCTCTCATATCCTGGATAAAACAAAAAACTGTTAATCTTTCTTTAAAAAAAAATTATTTCTTAGATACTTTTAATAATTATCAAAACTTTTTATTCAAACTAGAACCCTTTTATATATTATATATATATATATATATATATATATATATATATATATATATATATATATATATATATATATATATATATATATATATTTCATACTTTTTAAGTTGGTACCTACCTGATTTGGAGCAGCAGCGGATAGTTCAGCTTTGAGAAACCAAGTAGTATAGAAAACAGAGACAAAAGTTGCCACTTCAGTAATTTCATGCTTCAGCCATTTTTCCAGACTAGGTATAGCATCCATCATAAGTTGGAGTTTTAGGTAGTAGATACCTATAAAAAAGTCTTTTTTTTTTAATTTTTTAAAAAGACTAATATTTGGTAATGTAAAACGAATTCCTTTTTTTTTTGCAACTTGAACCTTTTTTTATCATGATCCTACAATTCCTTACCTTTTGCCATAAAGCGGGCATGGTGGTCTGCTCCGGGAGTACGAAATTTGTACCTGTCCTCAGAAAGCACCATAAGTGTAAGTTCTGCCAGCTCAATGTAGTCCTTCCTTGCAGCCCCATCCTAAAAATGAAATAAAATAATAAGTATTTAGGTATAATAAAATAAACCTATTTATATTTTAGTGTAATAAAGGATAATAGAATTAAAAAAGAAAAATTTATAAAAAAATTTCAACATAAAAGTACATACTACATAGATACCTACAAATTCAGTTATCTAGTTATTGGCTACCTTTTTTAGAGACCCACTGGTGATAATATTTCTGCAGAACGTTATGCTTTCATGCTTTTGATGACCAAGCCACGTTTCCTCTGGAATAGTCAATCTTCTCAAAACCTTATTTATTCAAAACGTAAAAAAAAAATTCAAAGAACTCAAAATTGGAAAAAGAAAATTATTTGGAAAAAATAATATTTCACAAAATGGTAGCTAATTTTGTAAAAACCTACCTGGTTGTCTGCGTCAAGATCATTCCATGCTGATTTTAAAGTTTTAAACAGCAGATTATCTGGTCCAGAAGTAATGCTACTTTGATAATTTTTCCAGAAATGTGTTATGTGTAGCTCATTGACATGATGTCGGCATGCAATAGATAGAACTGGTCGTTGAAAGACTTCATTTATCAGTAAAGATACAGCTCCATTTTTTTTTCCAGCGTTGATTCTGCTAGTATCAAATGTTACAGCTTGAATATTGTCTGTAAGGTTAAAGCTATTTAAGATATCTTTGATTGCATTTTTTTGATTTTTGCCAGTTCCAGAAGAATTGGGTGGAGTTCCCAACAGGTGCGTTTCCTTGTTAGCGAGTATTAATATTGCTAATCAATCTTGTTCCAATTTTTTCCCATCAGTATATTCATGACATACTTTTCCATCAAAATTGAGTTGAACTAAAATGTTCTTATTGACTTTTCTTAAACTTCTTAAATCATCCTTGATCCTCTTTGATTCATCATGAATGACCTTATCTGCAGCGCGTAATGCTGTAGAGGTTGAAGGTTTAAATTCAGCTACATTTCCACCCGATTTAGCGATTATACTATTAATCATGGAAGCATGCTGCCTATGACTTATTCCTTCCCCAACAGCAGTATCAGCAGTTCTCTTGAGAATATCTTTTGGAAGACTTTTTTCTTTAACTCTGGATCTGGGTATGAAAAATCATCATTACCTTCATCTTTCTCCAATCCATTTAAGCTGAATTCACTCTCTGACATGGTTTCATGCAAATTTGATTTCCTTTTAATTTTGGATAAACTCCTTTTAACAGAGTAAAGGTACCTTGTATCGATTCCACCAATTCTAGTTTTTCTATCTCCTAATTGGTCTAATAAAAATTCAATATCTTCAGTCTTGTCTTGATCCTTTCGTTTCCTATCAGCTTTAATGATTGCAACCAGAGTATCGAGCTCAGGTGCAATCCAAAAGATACTTTTCATCTGAGTTAAAAACCTCCTCCTTTTTTCAATCTCTGATAAAGTTTGTCTTGCTTTGTTTTTTTTTAACAGTTTCCAGGTTCGGATCAGCTTCTCTATCTTTATACTAAAAAATGTGATTTATAGGTTCGGTATATTTTACAACACACCTATTTCTGTTTATTAACTTATTTAACAGCAGACATTAGTTATATTAATATTTTCCGCCAATAAGTAATAATATATAAATTAAAAAAACATATACAGTCTGGTACCTACCTAATTGTTTGTAATTGTAAAATCTGAAATCCACCCTTCAACCAAGATGTAATTAACTTTGAAAGAGTGCAGCAAATATGTTTTTCATTATGGCAGCTGATTTCAAAGTTTTTTGTCAATGGACAGTGGATAATTCTACTTTCTTTTTGTTTTGGGTACTTCTCCTTCAAATGCAAGAAGTATTGCAAAACCTCTTGCTTTGTAGCAAACTTGTCTTTTGGTAAGGATGACCTGGATTCCCCTACCAAAAAATGTGTCAACTTTTTTCTTACTTTTCCCTGACATGAATAAATCGGTAGTAAATAGCTTTAATTAGTATATGGAGTAAGTATATCATAAGAGTAATCTATATTTATTTCCCGCGTTTTTAAATCAAAATTAAATATCGCTTTTGTTAAAAAGTAATTTGCATAACATGTTTAAGCAAATACGCAACATTTTTAAATTAACGCGAAGCGCAACAACTGCATAACTTTGCGTTTATGTAGATAAATTTACACAAATTATTTCAATAAAATAAAATTACCATGCATTTTAATTTTTTTATTCTAACTTAGAAAAAACTCTAGAAAAAAAAAAATTCAATTTTTTTGAGTTTTAGTACTTGCTCAAACGTGCGAAAAATGGGCTTAAAAAAGGGTAAAAAAGCCTAAAATATGACTTTTGAGGCACTTGAGCAACGCCTAAAAGTAGTCAAAATTTAAAAAAAAAAAAAGTTCTACTAATAATATAAGGGTCAACGCAACAGATAACACTCCATGGTACTTAAAATTTTTTCATGACCTCAAAATGAAGCAGTCTAATATATATATATATATATATATATATATATATATATATATATATATATATATATATATATATATATATATATATATATATATATATATATATATATATATATATATATATATATATATATATATATATATATATATATTAAATAGTTTTTTTACATTAGACATTAAATTAAAGATTTACATTAGAGTGGATCTTTTTACAAGTTTTGGGACTGGGTACCCTCAATCGTCAACTTAATAGAAAGTTATCGGTTGTATTGCAAGTATTTACCCACCAAATATATTCAAATATATTTGCATATATTGAATTTACAATGTTGTTTTCGTATCTTATAACTACAAGTAATATTCTCACTAATTAAAGAAACATAAATATTATGGCACAAACCAAAATATGCATAATTATGCTAAAGTACCCTGCGTAAACTTTTGGAGTGTAAGTGGAGATCATGTGAGGTTATTTAGATGTTTGTTTTTCATTCTAAGAGAACACAATTTCGTTTCATATACGAGCAGCTGCGGCACAGTTATTGAAGCTCTAGATTCAGTTACGGGAGTTTCACCCCCTTGCGCAAAGTTTCTAGTATTATGCTCCTTGCGCGGTATTCTGTTAGAAGTCTTTGAACTATTATAACCAGATAAAAATTATATAAGTTGAGTAACTACTGAAATGCTGTTTTTTATTATCTTTCTCGAAATCAATTTTTAAAAATTATAAATATTTTTTTCTTACCTTAGTAGTTTTTACTTAATGTTTTTAACTTATTTTTAAATATTAAAAATGTATATATTTTTTGAATTAGATATTCATGCGCGAAGTTGTTGATATAGCTTCATCATATTCTGAAGCTGTTTCTATGTTATCCGAGGCACACTTGATTGCTCGACTTTATTTTATTGTTGGCGGAACTGCATCCAACGAAGGCGTGATAATAACTCGTGGACAATATTACTTTAAAGAAATGTATTACCTAAATAACACAGAATATGGGTAAAATGTTTAAAATCTTTATATATATCTACTAACAATATTTGCTGAGAAAAGTAGATTAATTTAAAAAACAAACTGGTAGCTAAGTGGTTGGTTATTATAGCACTTACCCAGAAAACACTTTTGCAGTAGATTTGCTGTGAAACTGTGTAGACACTTTAAATGATTCATTGAAGTGTTGCTCATCGGTTATTTAGTTGACCATTAGTGGCATCCACTATATGTAGCTAGTCGATAACTTTCCAACATGTGGATAAAGGCTATTCATCGGCAAACCATTTTTTGGGCTGCCACTAATGGTTCACTAAGTAACCGTTGAACAAAACTACAATGGACTACTCAAAATCTCTATTTAGGTACACTGAAATTCCGCTATAGAATATTTGCTAGTAGTTTCCCAGGCAAACAATAAAATGTTTTTGAATATACAGAAAAATTGGAAAAGAGTAAAGCTATATAACCCACTAGTTTTTCAAACTTTGATATTTAAAATTTGATAAAACCGTTTCTTATCTCGTATATATTGCAATTTGCCACAATGTTATGTTGCATGTCATATTATTTTGGCTTCTCAATTGTACACATACAGGATCAAGATGGGTGTAAGCAAGTTAAAAAATTTTTTTTTGCAACCTGGATAATATTAATGGGGTTTAAAGGTAGCAATTTTCACCAGGATATTAAAGAGATTGGAGAGACGTTAATAGGAACTTTGGAATGTAAACATGATTGACAATTACTGTCGGTCACTAAATCGATAATAACAAAATACATCACATTGAGGAAAAAGCTACTTTCACAAATACTTAGTTCAAAAGTGAAAATATAAGAAAATAAACATTTAAATATATTGAGATATATTCTTAAGATCACAAAATCATAAAATCATCTTTGTTTATTCAAAAAGTTTTCTAAATATTTTTGTTGGCCTAAGTTATTCTTTTTAAAACTTTTGTTTCTTAATACCATCTTAAAACATTTTGTTCAATAGAATACTTTTCCATTAATCATGCAATTAAATAAGTTGTTTTAACAATAAAAAAGTTATTTTAAAATCAAAAAAAGTTGTTTTCTTAAGAATCATTTTTTTTTTTCTTTTTTTGTGTGATGTTGCAGACCTTTTATTAAAATTTTCATAAAATTTTTTTTTTTACGAATGTTGAGAAAATATTTCATTTTAGAAAATTAAAAAATCTAAAAACCTTTTTTATCTACTAATATATCAAATAAATAATATACTAAAATATATATAAACAATATACTATAATATACAGGGCCGATTACAGTAGAGGGCCACATCCCTAAATTTTTTTAAAAAAGTTCTCTATATCTAGAATTTTCTAAAAAAAATAAAAAAGGTCATTTAGAAAAAAAGTGGGGAACGTGCCCACCTGCCAGCTCCCCCTCCCCCACCCTACCCCAATCTCCCATCACCGGTGTCGTCGGCCTTGATATATATAAACAATATACGTTTTGTATAGGTTAGACTTATAACTTTATTCTTCTCATTTATTATGTTAATTATAAAAGTTCAAAAATTTATTACCAATACTAGTGTTTTAAAAATTTATTTAAAGATTTACAAAAAACTCAAAAAACTGTAATAACTTTTATTTTTCAAGTTGGTTTTTGGTTCAAACCAATTATGACCATTGGTTAAATCCTCCACCTTCGGATGATAGACGTCATCCTGCTATACAGCATTTGCTAAAAATCGGTTTTGAAAAATTTTCATTAGATGGAATGAATGAAGTACTGTCAACTCCACCGGTTTTTAACAACGATACAATTTATACTACGCTAATGTCCGCTAAATACCCTGAATATTATTTTTCGTATAAGCATAATTAAGGACTATTTCAGTTTAAATTAAAGAAATAAATAAATGTAAATAATAACTTTATTTTCATTTTTAAATTCGTATATTGTAATTGCAAAAATAAAATGAGTAAATTTGTTTAAACTTTTTTCTTTTACTTATACTTTAATTACTTCTTTATATTTATTCGTTTATACTTTTTTTATATTTACACGACGATATTTTTAATCAAAGTTGATTTTAAGCTTTCATTTTTACAAAACTTTTATTTTAAACAATATTATTAAACTTATTATATTAATTACTTTTAAACTTGTATTATTCAAAAGAGTAAAAAAGAATTTATACTATTTATTTTTGTTACAATTTTTTTTTAGATGTTAGGCTTTAAAATAGAATAAGTCACAACTTTTAAAATTTTTATAATCATATATATAATATAAATCTTATATATAATGTAAACAAAAGGTTAATATTACTAGCAGGTAATTTAATACTATGCACAATGCATTTATCTAAGGGGGTCTCCATTAATGATATCAGTAATTTTTCTCGATTTTCCAACCCCCTCCCCCTTTGTCAATATTTGTCCAACGTTCCCTTATATATGATGTCAGTTTTTGTTTGCCCCCCTCCTCCCTAAAGTAACATTAAAAATATGCGTAAACACCATTAATTTTTTTATGATTAAAAGGTTAAATTATACATTTATTTAGTAGTAGATCTTAGCAAATTATATTATAGAACAGTTGCTGACTCATCAAATGATAAACAAACTAATTGAGTTAAGCAAACTTTATTCTTTATCTTTAATATAAATTCACTCATTATCTTCCTATGGGTTGTTAAAGTTATTTTTGATTGAAACATTAAGTAGTGAATGCTCTCCGCGAAGTAAAAGGTTATCGTCCTCTTGAGGTATAATCAGATCCGTTGCGGCAACTTCATTTTCATCTAACCATTCAGGAGTTTCTGAATTCTTCTGTAGGGCAACAACTGCCATAAATTCTGTCTGATGCTTGGCAGCGATGCGTACTACTTGAACCTTTTTGATAGGAGGGAGTGTTAAAGCGGAAGAATAGATAGAAACGGGCTTTTTCAGCATAGCATAAGAGCAAAGTAGATATTGTACTTTTTACAGATTCTATCAGCTAGGCTAGACCGAATTGTTGGACAAAACGCATCATACGGAAGAATTGTAAGTCAAGGAAGGCGTAAAATAAGAGCTTCTTATAGTCCGACAACAAGAAAGAATTTTGTATTTCATAATTTGAGTTAAATATTGACTTATACGAAGACAATGGGCAATCCAACGTTGATCTTGACTAATATGGAAACCAACTTCAGAAGTGCGCCATTAGTAGTGCACTAACAGCAGTGCATGAGCAGGTCTTTCATATCAAACTTAAGAAATTAGATATCCGTAAATAATTTAAGGTCTTTGTATATTTTTAATCGTGATATTAAAAGCATATTTAGGTGTATAGTCATGTTTTAACATTATTTTCAGAAAACTTGTCAAGCATATATAGCCTGAGTGATCTTTATATATCAATCTAATTTACTTTCTATTGTTATCCAATTATCGCAATTTTTTGCAAAGCATCATTATTTAACACAGGCCTAAGCATTTAAATGTTTAGAGTTTTCTTCATCTCTGGTTAGTTATCTCTTAGTAGTGGCGGCGAAAATTTGCAACCCCCTCAAATTGAGGGGTTTAAACTTTATATGGTCACAATTTTTGAACACTGAGAGATAATAATATGAAACTTAAAATTTATCGATAAATATAAGTCTAGTTGAAAATAGTACATTATTTCATCAACTTGTTGCTCTCACGTTTGGGGTAGTGTTGGCCAAATTTTTGGGTTTTTTTTGTTCCCAAGCTCCAATCATCGTAATTTTTTGCAAAGCATCCTCATTTTACATAAGTATAAACTTATAAATGTTTGGAGTTTGCTCCATGTCTGGAAGTTAGCTATCTCAAAGACCAAAAAATGCTAGCGCCGCCATTGTCTCTTAGATGATACCTCAAACATCAAAAAGTATTACATTCGCCCTTGAATATGATGTTTTTTAAACATTCTTTTATGAAAATATTTGGATTTCAAATAACGCCTTTGTTTGTATATAAACAATTCTCATTTTCTTACTGTCCAAATAATTGAAATACTGTTACAATGCGTAGGCTTTCTCCAGTCCCAGTTTACTAAATCTCCAACCACATACACCAGCGGCCAAAAATCTATACCATTTAGAGTCATAACCAAGCCACAAGATTTAGTTTAAAATATTTTTTTTGAGCTTGTCTAGAGTCTGGGCAATCAGGTTGTCATAAAATAAAGCACACCGGTAAAGATTTTAGACCACGGATTTTAGTGTTTGTTTAATTCATTGCGTACAACTAGGCACAACTGCCGAAACATTTCTTTGGTAGAATACACCGATTTTTAAAGTTCACGCCTTTCATTATGAATATTTTCTTTTTTTTAAAAGTTATAATTGAATGCTGCAAATGATGATTATATTTAATATTACTTCGTATATGTACTAGAATAACAGTTTTTTTAATCGCATATGCTCTAGAATAACAATTTATAAAAACAATAGTTGTTGTGATAACAACTATTGTTGTTATCACAACATTATTTCACAACATTATTGTCAACAATAGTTGTTGTGATAAATTGTTCAATTTATAATGCTCATTTTTGTATCTCTCAATTATTGAGAAATACAAAAATTTTCAAAATGTTAAAGCCGTTAAATGTTAAAAAAAATAAAAATTAAAAAAAAAAAGTATAAAATAAACTGAAGCTCATAAAACTTTTACAAAAGGTATTAAGATTTTTTTTTATGATTAAAAAAGATTTAGAATTCAAGAAGATAAGAGCATATAGAAGATTAAAATATATGTATACGGAAAAAAGCACATAGTGAAACTTTTTAGTCCCTGTGTAATAAGTTAACTGGTTATGATAAGTAATTCATGACCAGGAGATCGTGGCCATAAAAAAAATTTTTATGACCACGATCAAGGACCAATAAAAGTCCTTTAGAAAAAAAGTGTGTGTGGGGGGGGGGGAGGACTTTGTACCTCCCCTTCTCTCCCACACACACTTTTTGTCGACCCTGATAAGATCTAGCGAACAATGGAATATTTAAAGTCAAATATTGTGCAAAGTTATATTGTGGCTTTTATCAATTAGATAAGCAGTAAAAATTAGTTTGAAATTATAATATTTAAAATAATTTGATAAGGTTTTTAGATTTTTTTTATTTTTTATTTGATTTTTAAATTGATAGACATTTTTCTGCTCAAAGACAATTACAAAAGTTTACTTTTGTTCTTGAAAATCTTTCTGGCACTAATCAAAAAAAGATTGGAACTTAACAGAATTCTGTTTAGGATATCCCTATTGCAATTTTCTCTCAAAATCTTTTTTGGTCAATCCTGCCTATAATCACGAAAGCGCTTATTTTGCGCTTAAGCCATCTCTTCCAATAACTAACTAATAGGCAGTATTGCTTGGTCAATTATTATAGCCCTATGTCTCAACATTTTGTGCATTGTATGAGACATTGGGTACCACCAATAAATTTCAACATAAAGTTCTGTTGTCAGATCTGCAAATGTTGCTATTTTTTGACATTTACTTTATATCCACTTGACAAGGTTTCTAAAATAATACTACAATTTTGAACTAATCTAATGTCGATAAGATTTGAGGGTCTGAGAAAAATTATCTTTATGTATTGCCGTTATTACTATTTCAAAAACTGCTTTCAAAATATCCACCAGCAGCCTCATTCTCTTTTTTTTTATAATCTTGTGTTCTCAATTGCCGATTTTCTTTTATATGGGAATGTGGTATGCGTTCCCATAAAAAATGGCAATAATATGACAATAAAAATTCAAAAAATCGAATTCATGCATATAATATCAACAATCTATATTTAAGAACATCTGGTTTTTCAATGTTTTCAAAGTCTTTTGTCCACCTACATAGCACCTCATAGCAAGTACCATGTTGGTCGCATTGCATAACTTTGCATCGATCATTTTAAATGCCAAGGTGTGCTATATTTGTATAATGACATCAAAAACTTTTGGTATTTTAGTTTTTCTTAAGTTCTAAAATTTTCTAATCTATTTTTAGCGGATAAAAACTTTGTGGATAAAACGAATTTGTATTGGGCAACAAATTCTGTAGAAAAGTTGTCTCCTTCGGCTTCCACAAAAACATAAAATATGATAATGTTTCCGATGGTAAATGTTCTTTTATAATATTCGTCTGAATGAAAATAAAACTTTCACTATATTTTTTTGCAATTTCAAGTGAACAAATAATATATTTCACTATACTAGACGCATCACAATGTCCTGCATCACGCTGAATTATTTGAGTAGCATATATTAGTTGTTTAGGCAACATAGGTTAGATGATTTGGAAGTATAGGTTGTTTGGAAGATATTTTCTTTCTTTAGGCTTTTCTTTTAGGTTTCTTGCTTGATCAAACTCAATTACTCAAAATCTTTTGATGGTCAGCCAGGCTTTTTATTTAGGTGGTAGATTTATGGTGGCGTTGAGCCACAGTTTTTTTTTTTATTTAAAAAAACTTCTTATTCATTCATTTATCTCCTTTTTTTTTCAATTTTATTTAGGTGCCCCAAGAAGTTTTTATAGTATTATAACAGAGCACCGCGGATAAGTTATAATTAGAAGTTCGCGCCTCCTTCTAAACCGATGTCGCAAAACTTGCCTAGAGGGGTTTGAATCCTTTGTTTCTAAAGAAAGTGCGCTACAACTGCGCCACGGCTGCTCATATATAATGACTAAGTAAAAATTTTATAGCATACAAACTCAAATAATACTTTTAAAAGTTTTGTTTAACTAAACTACAAAATTGTCGTTTAGCGATGGTAGCCATGGTAGTGATGTAACCAAGGTAGCCTTTCTTAAGCTTTTATGATGTCTAGTTAAAAGAATACTTTTATAACACTCTCGTAACTTTTGATTGAATCTTTTAATATCTTGAGATACCCCACTGTGTACCGTCAAAGTAATACAATATCACCCAGTAACACTAGCAAGGTCATTAACTACCATTTAAATTTTTTACGATCACTATTTGATCTATTAGTGTTAGCCTATTGAATTTTTTACTATTAATTTTTCCATTTAATCTATCAGTGTCAGAACTGGCCTATTAGGTTTAATTTTGATGGATTAAGCAAACTGAGCTTTTCATTATTTTTTTAATTAAAAAAATTAGCTTATAAAAATTGTTTTTAAGCAATCAAGCTGATGCATGTTTACTAATACAAAACCTATTAGGTTCGTAAATTATCTGAATTCTCTGAAAAGAAAAATTCACGCTTTAGTTCATAAAGACATTCTGCAACTAAACTAGAACTTTTGAGTGAGCTTTCCTCAAGCACCTTGCTTAATGTTGTATTAGTTATACACATTATTTTAATTATTGCATTTTTGTTATGTCAAATGTAATTGAATAAGTATAGTAATTATTTACAATACTTATTCAGTTATATTTGTCACTATTCTTTAATACTTTGTGTGGCTGGTATTCAGTTGAATTACGTTGTTTAAATAGCAGATGTAATATAGTGAATAACAGCAGTGGTGTAGTGGTTGGAGTTTCAAAACTAGAGGCCCGTGGTTAAAAGCTGGCTTTGGCCGTATATGCAACATTGGTAAGGAAGGACACTTGGACTTCCATGTTGGTTGACTGTTATTTTGCAGTTTTCATCTACTTTTCCCCGTTGAACGAGAACTCGGTCTTGTCAGCATTCAACTTTATACAATTTGCGTTAGTGTATATCTTATGAGTTACTATAAGCTTTTTAATTCCAGAAAGGGTAGAACTAGGATGTATTATGTCATCAGTGTATGCTACAACACCTGTGTAGTTTCCATATATTGATGTCCTTACGATACCTTGTGTTAAATAGAACGGATTTGATTTGCATCCTAGATAAATGATAATAATTATTATACCAAGATAATAGTTATTATACCAAAATTTATATTAAAGTTTGTATCAATGTTTTCTAAATAAATTTTTATTAATCTGATATATCAGTATCGATACGTAATAAATGTATCTTAATATTATCTTATAAACATTTCCGCGTTTTCCCTACGTTTCATTTGGCGTCCGTAAAATAAAATTAGCGACCTACATTTAACTTGCTGTTGCGTAATAATACGAAAGTATTACAGAATACTGATGCGATATTGAAAGTATAATCAGTATTTGGGGAGGAAGTAAAATTTAATTAGATATTCTAAACTTACTATGTATCATACAATAGTAGCTTAGGATATTAGAATTAGTATCTTTTATTTAAAAATTTTTTTATTTAGATACTATTTTTATCATTTTAAAACGACTAATATAATTTGTGGAATGCACGAATTTATAACTCCCTAAAAGTATATCAATTCAAGCCTTGAATCAAGGAAATTGATCAGTTACTTTCCTGCTCTTCACTTATAGATCTCCTATGATAATTGATAGAAAGCTTTGTAGCTTTATTTTTTTTATATTTGTTATTAAAATAATTTAAACTTCTGATTATGTAAATGCAAGAATAAAATTAAAACAACTGAGAAAATGGCATTTAAGTTAACTTCAAGCAAATGTGCTAGTTTATTCGATGTCACAGCTGAAGATTCATTAAGGTTATCATTAAAACCAGCATGGGTATATTTTTGTAATGTGTTAAAAATGAGATACCCTGTTTTACTAAAGAATCTGCTAAAATATTCTGATGAAATATTTGCAATATTAATTATGGTGCTTGAGGAGTATAGTTTTCGTAGAAATTCTGGTACAGTTACTGAATGTTTTTATCAACTAAAGCGTGAATGTTCCCTTCCAGAGAATTCCTTTAGATTCAGGCATGTTAAATGGATTTCGTTAACATCAGTTGTGTTGTTACCATACATATCAGATAAACTGCAAAATTATTATGACAAGTTGTTAGCAAACTCAAATTTAGGTGTAGAGCTTACTTCATTCCAAAAATACTTTTTAAATTTATATCCTATTCTTTTGACTTTTATTAAATGGATTCGAGTCATTAATTATATACAGTACTTATTTAATTACACTTGTCATCCTTCTCCAATACTTCGTATGGCTGGTATTCAGTTGAAGTATGGTGTTAAAACAGTTGTAAAAGTATCTGATATTAGTTCTAAAAAAAAAAGTGGGATGTTTCAAAAACTGTATTCTATTCCAGATTTTACTGCTTCTATTGTAATGAAGATTGCTCCTCTTGTTTTTTATTCTTTGCAATTTGTTGATATGTTTTATGATAAAGAGACTGGAGTTTCCAAATTAATGACTTCATTACCTTTTCCATCTGCTCCATTAATGCCTAAGGTAAGTGCTATATTTTTTAAGAATAAAATTAAAAATTTTTTTATGAGAATAAAAATTAATTTTTCTTGAGAAACCAGGACTAGTTTATAATTGATAAATAAAATTAATAACAATGAAAGTTTTGATTTATTCTTTACTGAAAATAAAACACAACAAAAATAATTTAAAATAGTACAAATATAAATAGGGTATAAATTTAAATGTGATGTGTATAACATAACTAAGATACATATTTAAATTTAAATATAGTTGCATGCAAATATAATACAGAAAAAAAATTTACTGTTTTCTGTTTTTTTAAGGTTGCATCAACAACTCTAAGACTTCCACCTTCAGCTAAACAATGTCCTCTCTGCCAACTGCCTCATACGAATCCTACAACAATTGTTAGTTCTGGTTTTGTTTTTTGTTATGCATGTTTATATCGTTATATTGAAAAGCATAAATGCTGTCCTATAACATATCGACCCTGTGAATTCACTGACATGATAAGAATACATAGTTAAATAAACAAGTTTGATTAGTTGTGTTGCTTTTTTGTACTGTTGCTTCAGTTTTTTTTTTTTTTTTTTTTTTTTTTAATGTTTTATACTATACAATTTCAAACCTATTTTATTTTATTAAAAGCATTATGGTTAAAATCTGTAATACAAAGATGTTATTCAAAACTAGGGTAAAATTTTTTAACTTTTTAAAATAATTTAAATATTGTTACTATTGTTGTATTGTGATTTATATCAATGTTATGTATAAATGTTTAAAAAATATATCAATTTATGGATATATGTTCAAAGATGATACTAACCAGAAGTTAGTATCATTTTTAAACATATATTCATAAATTGACCATAAAGTGACTACAAAAATTTAAATATGTTTAATATGCTTTTTTTATGTTTATGCACATACTATTTTTTTATACTAGTTATCTTGCTTTAAATATTTTCGGGTAAATGTACTTAAATATGTAAAAAATAATGTTTATTAAAACATTCAGATCCTATTTAAACTCTTATAGCTTAAAGGTCTAGAGTCAAAAAAACATTAAATGTACAAAAACGCATACTTAAACCTTTAAACTTTTGAACTAATAATTTTTTTGTTGTTGCTATATTAAATGGTGTCTTTTATTTTATTATTTTATTTTTGTTTTACAGTAGTGAAAGTAAGACTAATATTTTTAGAGGTAAATATTTATTTAGTAAAATAATGCTAAATTATTATTGGTTCTTTGATTTTTGTATTATCTTTTATTTATATTAATTATAGGATATAAGTTATTATAAACTACATTTGCTTTAATTGATTATGTTTTGCTAATAAAAAATATCCTAATTTAAGTTGAAGTTATTTTTATTTTTCATAATGTAAAGTTAAATGCTATATCAGTAATAAATTTTATATATATATATATATATATATATATATATATATATATATATATATATATATATATATATATATATATATATATATATATATATATATATATAATGTATGCAGAAGTTGTGTTTTATGAAAACAAATTTAGTATTAAAACTATGTGCCATTTTCTTTGAAGTCTGTTTTGAGGTTGTGTTGTACTAACATTTTGTGACATTCTTATAAGGAATATCTCAATTTGAATGTTTTTTGTTTTTTTTAATGTGAAACAAGCAGTTCAGCTTTCTTTCTGTCACTTATATGTATTCAAACTAAATTTTAGAATGATTTTATTTGATTTTTAAAAATACCTTGTTGTTCTCACATCAAGATGTCATTGAAGGTATTTTATACTTTTTTTAAAAAAGATTGTCTCGCAGATACCTTTTTTTTTGTCATAAAATGGTACTGAAATTTAAATTTTTTCATTTTTGATGTCGGCATTAAAGGAGGGATAGCAAATTTAATTTTTCATAATAGTAAGATAATATAAAAACTTTATTATTTAAAACAAATAAAACGACATTTAAATACATTTAGAATACATTTAGACATGTAAAAATGACACATGTAAAGATGACACAAGTTCATGAAGAACGTATAGGTTCTATAATATATAACATAAAAAATCTTTATTAAATTTTGGGTTTTTATCTAGATTTAGATTTTATTTTACTTTTCATTTAGTGATTATTAGATAAAATTATTAAAAGTGTTTTTTTTTTTAAATGCAAACCTAAATTATTTTTTCTAATTGTTTAGATCGGTTGGCTAAATAAGCACAATTTGGCATATGTGCAAACTGGCATAAGTGCAAAGCGTTGCAGGCACTGGTATAAATGCGCCAAAAGAATTGGCAAACATTGGCATGAGTGCGTATTGGCACAAATGCGAAGCAGTTGCAAAAACTGGTACAAATGCAAACTGGCATAAGTGCGAAGCAGTTACAAAAACTGGCAGAAGTGCGCCGAATAAAATTGAAAATATTGACATTACAGTGTAAATTAGTATTTCGTACTTATGCCAATTCGCCAATGTTTGCAAATTTATTCGGCGCACTTTTGCTAGTTCGCATTTATGCCAGTTTTTGTAACTGCTTCGCACTTATGTCAATGTTTGCCTATTTGTTTGGCGCACATGCCAACTCGCACTTATGCCAATTCGCACTTGTGCCAGTTTTTGCATATGCTTTGCACTTATGTCATTGTTTGCAAGTTCATTTGGCGCATTTATGCCAATTCGCACTTATGCCAATTTTTGTAACTGCTTCGCACTTATGCCAGTTCGCATATATGCCAATTAACACATATGCCAGTTCACACTTACGCCATTCGCATTTATGCCAGCTCGCGCTTATGAAACTTGCGCTTATTCCAATCGTCCTTTTATACTTCCCGCCTAAGTTATGATTATTATTATTATATATTTTCTTTTTTATACTCAATCGAGCTGGATAGTGTGCCGTTAAGTTGAGAGTTTTATTTACAATAATTTAAATAACCAATTCTTCTTCCGCTCCGCGAGTTGTTGTATTTTTTTTTTTTCTTTTATATTATTATTTTTTTTTTTTTTTATATTTCTCTCTCAATTTACTCAACTATTATTCAATATCTAATGGCCAGTTTTAACAAATCGTCTCTGGCCGATTTTAATACGAGAGTGGATTTCTTTATGAGTTTCTCCCTTGGCGCGATCTTCAAATAGGAATATAAACGATAAACAAATTCAATAAAGCGATAAACAAATTCAGCTGCAAGCTTTTCTCTTCTTTCTTTTAGTGAGTCCAATTTAGTAAGAAGAGGGGCTGAATGGGCATCTCGATTTTCTCCGCAAATAATTCGTAACGATGATAAAATAACGTGATAATAATAAAATAACGTTGTCGTTTGGAACGGTGTTCCAAACGCTACCCAGCCAGCACACTTACATTGGGCCAACGTATATAAAACCATCGCAAATTTCGGCTCTTTTTTCCAATGCAAAACCTAACGTTGATCCAATGTCATTTAGTTAATAATAAAATTATTACCGACGGAACTAAAAACATCTGGCAAATTTACATTAGCCTAAAGTATGTAAAAACATCGCAAAAAGTTGATTGTTTTTACGATCTAAACCCAATGTTGACTCAATGTATATATTTCGACGTTGATTCAATGTATGTAAATCAACGTTTTTCCAATGTATGTAAAAACATCGTAAAAAGTTGATTGTTTTTACGATCTAAAATTATATAACTTAAATAAAATCTTCTGTGATTATTAAAAAATCAAACCACAATCAACACAAACATGATTTTTGTTTTGATGATCAAGCGTTGCCAACCCTCTATGTAAATGTATATGTTTGCGTTGGTTGTCAACGTAAATACAACGTTGTGCCAAACTAAAATACAACGTTGTACAAATTAAAAATACAACGTTGGGCCGATGTATAACATAAAACGTTGAATCAACGTAGAATATAAAACCACTTTCTGACTTTAAATAAACGTTTTATCAACATTGGTTTTTAGTTGTTGACGACGTCGCATTTGTAACCATAATGATATAAAAACAACGTTGGCAGCCAATGTTGGGACGACAAAATGCGCGACATTGTTCCAATGTTTTAACAACGTATGTGTGCAAGCTGGGTAAGTTCGGTAGCAGGGCTACGCCCGCTGCGCGTCGAGTACGATAAATTTTTTCCAAACACAATTCTATGTTTTATTATTCTAGAGTTTTATATAAAAATTAATGTAAGAAGTGTTTTTTTATTTTTATTATGCGCCGGCTCACTTGGTAATGAGCGTGTTAATAATGAAGAGTCTACGCTACAATACTTTTAATAACGTCTTCAGATTGCGTGCAAACATATGAATTCTAATTAATATATATGATTTTAATTTTCTTAAAGTTGAAATTAATTGCAAATTAAAAAAATTAAAATCCTCATGGATTACTAAGGTTTTACTAAAGTTCTCAAAAATTAAACAAAAATTGTAGATTAAATTTCTAAAACTAAAAACTAGGGCCTACGAATCAGCATTTTTAATATTGAATCGAAGTAGCACTAGATTCACAAATCAAATCTCGAATCGAATCACTAGTTTTTTATCTCCAAATTTAAGTTTTTTTTATCGCTTTTTTATCTTTTTTTAATAATATATAATTACACAATTAGAATGTTATTTGAATAAGCTCTTTTTGTTACTTTTAGCCCAAACTAATCGTTCTGCGTTTTTCTCGGAAAGGCTATTGCTTTTACAGTCAATTTTTCCTTCTTCCACAGAGTTTCCTTTTTCTGATGAACAATTTGTAGCTTGTACAGCAAAAATATAAAGTGTAGCTAAAGAAAAATAAAGACAATAAAGGGAAAATGCTATGTTTGTTTTTCCAGTAAAGAATAGAACAATCTGAACGTCCCAATGTTTTCTTTTCGGTGTACGCATTAATTTCAAATTTTAATTGCTGATCTAAAGTTCTTCTCTCTGGTAGGGTACAATTTTTAAAAACATTTTATCTAAAATTCCATTTGTTTGAGTTGCAAAATTTGTTCCCTCGAGTTGAATTTCATCGGGAATCGTAAAAATACTTAAATCGTGTTTTTTTTCAGATACCGTTTAATATGAAGTAACAATTTGCATATCTGCCAAGATAAACATTACTGATTTAAATTGAGGATCTAAGAACGTAGCGATAAGAAAAACATCTTCACTTAATTCAAACCTGATTACCAACTGTGTAAAAAATTTACTTGTCTCTCTTTTATCCATTGAGCAAAAGCAATTTTTCAAAACTGAAAGGCACGGATAAACTAAATTTATGCTCACGCTTTTTTCTGCACTTAGAGTAGTAGTGGCTTCAGATACTGCATTTAAAATAGGAGTGACAATTGTTAATAATTGCATTTGCGTTTCAGTTAAACAAGTTGGTGGCACTTTCGTACAGTTTTCTGTCTGCACTCGACTAGAGCAAGTTCTATTAAACCGCGATTTTTTTAAATTCATCCCAAAGTTGGAAAATCGTGATTTTTTTAATCTATTCCAATAAATTAAAAGTACTGTTGAAGCTCGTTTCTACATCCGTTGGAGACTTTTACTTCTTAAGAAACCTGATTTGGCTCCTTAAGAAATCTGATCTTTTTGAGAGTTTGCTGTCCAACCGATCTTTTTGAGAGTTTGCTGTCCAACCGATCTTTTTGAGAGTTTGCTGTCCAACCGATCTTTTTGAGAGTTTGCTGTCCAACCGATGATAAGAGAAAAAATCCAACTATTTTATAAGCTTTGTTAATTATTTCTACAAGAATTAGTTGGTTGTGTATGATTTCACACAAAGTTGAAGTTTATAATTTCACGCTGATTTCTCAAAAAATCGGACTTTATAAACCTTGGCAGCCTAGCCAATCAATTCCAAGAAGTTTAAGTGCGCACGACATACTAGAAGTAATGTCAGTTGCAGCTCCTAAAATGATATCTGAAGTCAATTCAAGTTTCGATTCGTTTCTTATAATTTTTTCAGTTGAAGTAGCTTTGTGACAAACATTATTTTTAGATTTACAACTGATAAACGGCATGATTTTAAGACCAACGTTGATGAAATATAGTGACAAGTAGAAACAAGAAAGTTGTTGATATTGTCGGCCTTGAAGAACTCAAAACTGATGCTAGGTTTGGAGATAATCTGCCGTTTTATACTTTGTTGGAAGCTATTATATAGATCATCAACCATATCAACCAAATTTTATAATAAAGTGGTCGGGTGTGGTGGATGATATTGTCCTTAAGTAAACGCCGAGAACAAACTGATGAATTTAGATCCAGAAGCTGTCTCAAATGATCTTCTATTTCCAATTATAGATCTAAGTACTGCACGATTATACTTTTTTTTAATAACTGTATTACTCGAGGTCCGAATACATAACGTAATTTTAATGTAGAGCCTGATAATTTTTTGACTATGTTACCGGAATTTTTTTTCTTTTTGTAGCAGATGCTTTTTAGATGCTTCTTCGTGTAGCTTTTATGGTCACGTATTAAATGGTTCCATAGATAAGATAAAGTTCAAGTTTTTTGAACAGAATACTTTTTACTTCAGTTTTTCTGTTTGCATCAGAATGTTCCTTTTTTCATATGAATTTTTCAATACCAATTTTTCGGAAGTTATTTTTTAGCTTGAAGTAAAATAATTAACAGTTTTTTATTTCCAGTATGTAGCACTTTAATTTAGCACAGCATTACTGTATGTGAAAAGCAAAGTCACAAATTACCGAAGCAAAATTATAGTCGTTTAATTAAACAGTTAAAGCGTTACTAATTTGCGCCCACCTCTATTTAAATCTCTTATTGGCAAATATTTTATTAAATTACTTTACAAAATTTCTTTACCCGATATGTGTTAATATTTTAACAACATTTTAATCCTGTATGCAAACAAACAACCATAAAAAACAGTGAACGATTGATTGTGAACGATGTGAACGAAATGATTCGAAAACTCGAAACTGCTCTTGCTTGGTTTAATTTATTTTTGCGTTTGGCCTAAATAATAGTTTTTGATTTCAATATATTTATTTTTATTATTAATAATATTATTAATAAACAGTGCCGACTTAACTAATGGACACACTGGACACGTGCTAGGAGGCCACGGAGTTTAAGGGGCCAGAGCATCGAAGTATAATTTTAAGAGAGATATAATTTGAAAGAAAAAATTATTATCGACCTCTATCCTTGACTTCCTCTCATATCCCAGAGATTTTTAATCTTTGCAATAACAGCGCATACGGCGTATCGCAAACTGGACGTTTTATTTTTTTAACGACATGTCCGAGTTCGGGAAAGAAGAAACTTGAAAAAAAATTAAAAATATAATGGTGAAAAAAATAAAATTTAAATAATTGGATATATTATTTATTATTCATTCTCAGAGGATTATCACTCCGCGGATGAGACGAAAAACTAGGATCGATACGCAACAGAAACTTTAATGAATGTATTGAGCATTTAGTAAAATTTGATCTTTTTTCTCACCCAATACTTGATAACTTATGGAAACAAAGAAAAGGATTGTACCTCGTACTTATTTAAAGACATTTGCGAAAAACTCATGCACTTAACAGCCGCCGATGTTATGGAATCTATAGGTAATATAATCATCCTTAAAGAACATGTTAGAGTATAATTTTTTTATTTACTTTCAACATAATTTCTTAGCGAAATAAAATTTGTGAAATATTTCTCAACCTTCGTTGATTCTTCTTCCGATATGTACAAAACGGAAAACCAGTTGAGTAGTTCTTTACATTCATTCTCATGCATAATCATTTTGCAGTTTCAATCCTTGAAATCGTTTTAAAAAGTTAGGTCAAATCGATCTACACGCGTTATGCGATCTACACGCTTTATGGAAATAACATTCAAAATTGCCGTGGCCAATCAAACAACAATGTCAGTAATATGTCTGGAATCTACTTTGGGTTACAAGCAAGAATTAAAAAGATCAACGTACTTGCCTAATACATTCCATCTGCTGCTCATCATTTGAATCTCGTAGGAGTGAGTGCAGCAGAATTCAAATGCTGTTAATTTATTTAGCTTTCTTCAAGAAATTTATGACTTCTTTTCGACATTAACGCATCAATTTCTTCAAGTCAAAGTTCCTTGCATCAAAGCATTTTAAAGTCAAAGTTTCTTGCTCGAATACGTATGAAGGTTCCCTAGACTCTCTTACAAATTAATTGATCAGCTCGTGCTGATTCTTGTTTAGCTATTAAAAAGGTTTATTCTATTTACAAGGTGATTAAGAATTATTTAAAAAATCAAATAAAAATTTATTTTATTTGTGATTGCGCATACTTATTAATAAATATTTTCTATATAGGATCTTCTTGATCTTAACGACGATCAGATAGCAAAACCAAGAGCTGAAGCCTACGGATATTTGGCCAAAATGGAACAACTTGAGACAGCTATATTAATAATCATTCGTAAAAGAATCATGAAAAGGTTCAACAAAGTTAATAAGAAACTGCAGTTCTTAAAGCTTGATTTAGGTATATTTGAAGAACTGCACAACTCCCTGGAGTATTACGTGCAGCAAGTTCGTTCTAATTTCGAGCAATATGAAGAAGAAGCCGTGTTTTTGGTCAACACATATGAATATGTCTATGTTCAAAGGCTCCTATAAGCACGCAAGTAGCATTAAAATGATGAAACAAAAAGTGCGGGAACTAAAGAGTTTTCTGGGCAATCTTAAATGATTGCCGACGTTAATGAGATCACGGACAAACTAATGAGTGATCTAGATAAAAGAAAGAAAACCTATTCTGGATTTAACTCTCTGTTTGGCTTTCTTGTGAATTTCCGCAACATGAATATCTCAGAGAATACTTGTAGTACACAAAACCTTGTTGACCGATATCCTACTGATCTTAACTTTCACTTATTGCAATAAGTGAAAGTAGGATATTGTCAACAAGGTTTTGTGCACTGCAAGTATTCTCTGAGATATCTATGCTGCGGAAAAAAACATTCGTACAATATTGAACGAATGTTTTCATTTTTCACGTCTTTCAGATCTTTCTATTGTTCAAATAGAAAACCGGGTATTGGATTCCATCAACCTAAAAGATATAAAATCTGCATTTGCAAGCTTAAAATTCAGACGAAAGGTGTTTTAAAACCTATACTTATCGCAGGGGGTTTTTTAATAATAAATAACGCAAGAAACTTATTTAAATACAAAAGAAAACACACAATAAAGCCATATCGCATCAAATATAAAAATTTTTTTATTTTAAATCGCTGTTTTAATACCTTGAGGCCAACAAAGGCCAGAAGGCATAAAGTGTCGGGAGGCCAAGAAGTATATAACCCGGCCCAGTGAATAAATGACTTTAATGAATATTATTTTAGAGACTTAATATAAATTTGTTTCTTTTGAGACATTCTTTTGAAGAAAAATTTAAGATAATATTAGAGAATCTTCAAATGTTTGGGACCTTTGAGGAAAACTTTCGTAAATAATGTTTTAGAACCGTAATATGATAGTAGTTTCGGAAAAACATTTTGCTGTTTTAGAGTCCGGTTGTAATATTTTAGTTATTACGGATAACCCAGCGGATCTTGGTAACGTTATTCTGATTTAGAATGGTTTATTTATTTCGAATAAAAATTTTGCTTTGAAAATGTAATAAATTTGTTTAAACAATGTCTCAAAACCGAATTGCATATTTTTATGATCCTGATGTTGGAAATTATCATTATGGAAGTAGTCACCCAATGAAACCTCATCGATTAGCATTAACTCATAATCTTGTATTTAGCTATAACTTGCATAAAAAAATGAACGTATTTAGACCATCACATGCTACTCCTCATGATATGACAAGGTTTCATTCTAGTGAATATATCCATTTTTTACAGCGTGTTACACCATCCAATAAGGCAGGTTTTATAAGTTCACTTAACAAGTTTAGTGTTGGAGATGATAGTCCAATTTTTCCTGGTTTATTTGACTTTTGTTCTGCTTACACTGGAGCATCGCTGCAGGGAGCGGTAAAGCTAAACCATGGTTTATGCGATATAGCTATAAATTGGTCAGGTGGTCTTCATCATGCAAAAAAATTTGAAGCTTCTGGCTTTTGTTATGTTAATGATATTGTTCTTGCAATTCTTGAACTGCTCAAGTATCATGCACGAGTTCTTTACATTGACATAGATATACATCATGGAGATGGTGTGCAAGAAGCATTTTATTTAACTGATCGTGTAATGACTGTTTCTTTTCATAAATATGGTAATTTTTTCTTTCCTGGGACTGGTGAAATGTACGAAGTTGGAGAAGATGATGGACGCTATTATTCATTAAATATTCCTTTAAAAGACGGTATTGACGATCAATCTTATATAAGTCTTTTTAAACCTATTATTCAGGCTGTTATAGAAAAGTATGTACCTTCTGCTATTGTTCTTCAGTGTGGAGCAGATTCTTTAGCACTAGATAGACTAGGATGTTTCTCTTTAAATATCAAAGGACATGGAGAATGTGTTCAGTATGTAAAGTCATTTGGTATACCTTTGCTTGTGTTGGGGGGAGGAGGTTACACAATACGCAATGTTGCAAGATGTTGGACTTATGAAACTTTTCTTTTATTAGATGAGCCTGTTGATGAACAAATTCCTATGAAATCAGATTACGCTGAGTTTTTTAGTCCTGATTATTCACTTTGTCCAGTTATGTCTGGAAATTTTGTAAACCAGAATAGCAAACAATATTTGGATTATATAAAACAGACTGTGTTTGATCATTTAAAGTTTATTCAAGGTGCACCAAGTGTTCAAATGCAAGATGTACCACCAGATTTATTTTTGCATGATGAAAATGAGTGTAATGATGATTCTGTAGAGTCTGCTAATTATATCCGGTAAGTTAAAATTTGTATTTCTTCTATTATTTATGTTCTATATTATCTAGTAGGTATGTGTGTAAAAATTTTAAATTGTTTAAATATCAGATTGTTATATATCGTTGGAAAGAATTTTGAAAAAATATTCCAAAACTGAAAATTTTATCAAAATCAGATGATTCTATAAAAAGTTATGAGCATTATAGTGACGAAATTTGATTACAAGGATTCCTTAACAAAAATGTGACCAATTTATAATGGTTTTTTAACTTAAACCGCCTCAAAATTGTCAATGCTTATCTAAATGCATATAACTTGGTATCAAAAGATAGGTGTAACATTGGGCTACAAACTTCATTTACTTTTAAACACCTGTCCGTATTCAGGGGGCTAGAGGGGGGACAGAAAAAACATCTTTGCTATCAAAAAATTCACATTTCTTCCATAAAAGGTTTTTTTTTAATATAAAACTAGTAATTATCATTAAAAAAGTAGTTATTTTTTTATTGGCAAGCAAGTATTAGTATTTGTATTTTATGAAGAAGGTGGATGTGGTGGTAATGGTACACACCCTAGTACCGAAAGATTTATTCTTATAAATATTTTTATCATTAATAAAATGAATAAAAATAATATAAAAAGTTGTTGAACATTTATTTTGAAAGTATACAAGTAAAACATGTCCTTTAAGACATACCTGATATGAAAAAGGTAGTTCAAGATACTCTGATTTCAGATGATTCAACATTAAATATTTCTTTGACATTTTAAAAACTCTTGGTACAAGTGTAAAAATTTAATTATATTATTTAGAGCACTAAACTCTAAATAACTAAATTATATTTATTTAATATAGAGTGTAAAATAAATATAGTGAATAATTCACAAAATTTTATTGTAACATGTTTAATAATATTAAAGCTGCATGTTTAACATGTTACAATAACCCTTTTTGTGAGAGAGTTTTTGTAGACGTTTATAACTTATAGTATAAGTTGTGAACGTCTACAAAAACTCTCCTTCAAGAATATACTATAAGTTATAAAATAACAAAGCAAATATAATATATAAATATTTATAATTCTATGCAGTACATAATATATATATATATATATATATATATATATATATATATATATATATATATATATATATATATATAATAGTAAATGCAATATATTAAATAAACTATTACAATTATAATAATTTTAATAAAATATAATAACTATCGCAATAGTATATATACTATATATAGTATATATTGCTATATATAGCAAAAAATATATTTTAATCTTATTAATGAGTAAATAATGATGCAAATACTTGATAAAAATAATTTAATACTTTGAAAGAATAATCAAAAATATAACTAAAAGTATAACCAAAAAATTATATATCTTCAAAAGATTTAAAAAGGATTCTTTTTAAGAATCCACAAATGTCACTAGGTTGCTTATAGAAAAACAGCAAGTTAATAAATATACTTTTTTCACTAATCGGAATTTCAAAAAATATCACGTGACTACAAGAAATGAAAAAATGCGAACTCAGCGTAACAAGGCAAGAAATCCAGCATTTCATAGAAATACCTAGGGTGCTTGGGGAAACCCAAAACCAATGTGCGCTACGCCTGATTACTATAAAAATTGTACCAATATTAGACAAATAAATGATCTACAATACCTTAAAGTTTCATAAAGTACCTGCCATAATTTACAGAGCTGTGATTCTTAGAAAAAATGTGTTAATTTACAATGTAAAAATATATATGTTTTTTTTTTTGTAAAGTATTCTAAAAATTTAGAAAAACCTTTTTTCTAATTAACTGCAAAATTTCAAAAAAATTGGTTGATAATTAGCGGTACAGTGTCGTTTGCCCTAATACGTGTCTTGGCCAAATTACAAAAGTCAGGTCACAGATTTTAGCTCGCGTTTTTACGGCAAATTACGAACTTACGCACGTACCTATATCTAGTTATCTACTATAGTATATATAGATATATATTTTCAAATTTTTCTTGCTTACTTTATTCCATACAACTTTTTCAAAAAAAGAAAACTAAAATAAAAAAATTAGAAAACTAAAAAAGAAAAAAAAAGAAAAAATATCATTGCTGCTCTAACCCAAACTCGTAGTCAATGTACACTCATGAGCACTCCTTGTATGTTCCCAGATTTAGTCTGCTGATTATGTAGTGAAGCCCCTAGCAGCCCCCTATTTCAGTATGACATCAGACTGTTCACCTCAGTATGCAATATTTTTTTATATATGTATATTATATATGTATGTTAGTAAGTGATTGGGGTTAAAATTTGACTGGGGGCAGGAGTGGAATAGGGTTTGATTATTAATAGCCGGGGGCAAGGTTTGTGATCCGAGCCGCATACACATTAATACATCCTAAAGTATATATTTTTAATTCAAAGTTTATGTTATTTTATTTATATATTATTTTTTTATATATATTATGTTATTTTATTTATATATTCATGTATATTTAATAATCTATACCACTCTGTATCTCAATTTGTTATTGTCAGTGACTTTAATTTTTCTAAAATGGACTGGCTTAATTACATATCACCAAACGAAAAGTGCCATATCCTTTTTTTAAATTTAGTCAACAATCTCGGTTTGCACCAATTTGTACAGGAACCTACTCGTGAAAACAATATTCTTGAACTTGTATTTTCAAATAATATCTCATTTCTTAGTCTTATTTCAGTTAAATGTCCTTTAAGCACCAGTGACCATGACATTCTCTATTAATATAAATGATCTCAATCAGTTTAATAAAAATATTGAATCCTTCTACGACTTCGTTAATGCCAACAATGATGGTTTTTAGTCTTATTTATTAAATATTAATTGGGACTTCGAGTTTTCCTTTTTTTTTACAGTTAAAGATTATTGGAACGTTTTCTCCAATCATTTTTGCAATGGTATTTATCGATTTGTTCCAATTAGAAAGAGTAATCTTAATAAAAAAAATAAAACATTACCTGAGTTTTATCGGGAAAATGTTAAATCATAAAGCTTTCTTATGGAAAAGATGGTCAAATACTAAAAATATTACACACAAAAAAACATATACAAATACGCTAGTAAATGTAAAAAATCATTACTTACCAAATGAGAGTCAAACTTAAACTTGTAAAAGAAAACAATATCAGCAAATTTTTTAATTACCTTAATAGAAAATTAAATAACTCTAAAAGTATTTTTCCTCTAAAACAATAATAACAAGATAACTTGTAGTAACGAAGAAATCACTGACGTGTTTAACAAACACTTTGGCAATGTCTTTACAAATGATAACAATTACTCTCCATTTATTAATAGTTATGTTGATGATTCAATTGGTATTGAAACTGTACTATTTCCACCAGAAGCAGTGTATAAATCTTTGAAGGAAATTAAAGCCAGCACATCGTATGGTCCTGATAGCATACCTAACATACTTCTGAAAAAATTAGCTTATCTATTGTGTATTCCACTCTCATTTATATTTGATGCCAGTTTTAAGTCAAGTTCTTTACCTAAACAATGGCGCCAAGCTTTTGTATCTCCAGTTTTTAAAAAAGGAGCTACTGCAGATCCAAATAATTATAGATCCATCTCACTGACATGCACTTGCTGTCAAGTCATGGAAAGAATGGTCTTAATTTTGAAATGTTTTTAAACACATGACCCTTGTATCCTAGTTAGAGCTTTCACTACCTATATACGACCAGTTTTTAAAATATTGTTCTCCAGTATGGTCGCCACACCAAATTAGATTCAGAATAAACCAAATTAAATCAGATATAAGTGTCCAACGAAAATTTACAAAAAAAATAAGGAGCCTTAGGAATCTTTCCTATTATAATAGATTACAATTGCTTGGTATCGAATCACTTGAAGTTCGGCGCCTTAAAAATGACTTTGTAACTTGCTTTAAAATTTTTCGTAAACTTGTCTGTACTGATCAATCTATGTTTTTTGCGATTGACAATAACAGCCACACCCGGGGTCATAATTATAAAATAAGCAAACAATCTTTTTGCTTAGATTTAAGAAAATATAGCTTTTCTTACCGAGTTGTTAACATGTGGACCAATATGACCTTTTTTTTGTAGCGATATTTTTAAATTTCTTTGTTAGTGTCCATCTTTGTATGGGCCTTCGTGTCCTTTAGAACATGTATTTATACTTTATTCTAATAAATATTAATCAATGTATATTTATATATAAACATAATCATGATCATCATAATCATCATTGTCATCATCATCATCATTATCAAAATTAAGCCTCTTTTGTGATATTTCTCTAATATAAACATCTTGAGCATTTTTTTTCCTTAACTAAAGCATTCATATCATATGTAATGCACTCTCTCCAAGTTTTCTTAACTCCATCATTCTCTCCTGCTACTTCTACTGCTACCTCTTTACAAGTTGATAACCAAAACACTTAAATCTGTTTTAATATGAAGTAAATAAATAAACATAAAAAAAAGTTTTTTTACATTTTAAAAAATTTAGCATTTACATTATTTTTATCATATGTTGAAAAAAGAAATTCATTATTTCATGTTTTTAGCTACCAGAAGCAAAATAAAGATTGTATAACATTTGTAAAAAATAACTGCAAAGTTTTTTGTTCATTTTCAAATAAACTTTTTTTGTAGTATTTTGTAAATTGTGGTAGTTTGCAAAGTTGTCCATAAATACAAAAATCATGTTATTGAGAGCATCAAATTATTTAAAAAAATATAACCTAAAGCTAAAAAATGGTATTACAAGTATTTCACAAGTATTTCTGGACACTTTTGCAAGACGGGAATGTTTTCCAAATCATAGCTGTTAATGAAATTATGTTTGGCAATGAAATACTCTTGTTTTTTTACATGTTAGGAAGAATGTATTTATTAGATTCCAAAGCATAATGAAAAGTTTTTTGCAAATAATTTAGCCTTAACTTTGAGATCGATCATCCATTTAAAGTGGCACAAGTTTAAATCCCACTACATCCCTGGTAGTACCCTGCCTAACTTGTTTCTCCATGCGGCAACCTTGTTTGTCAAGGTTTGTGTTTTGGAGTTACAGAGTTAAGAGAGTGTAACCATAATTAAAGTAGCCTTCTCCACTGTAGTGGCCTTCATGGTCCTGGGGAGGTGAATTAACATTAAAAAAAAAATTTGTATACAATAATAATAAGTTACTTAAGTAATTTCTCTCAAATTACTTAAGTAATTTTAAATTATTTCCAAACAATCAAATGTTAGATACATTTTAGTCTGATAATAAATTATTTGAGGAATTTTTGTTTATAATTAAATTTTTGAAGAAGTTTTTTAATTTGAGCATTATTTAAGAATTTACAGTTGAGTAGTTTTTTATCTTAAAAATCAGATCAATTAAAAATAACTAGAGGTAGTTAATAATATTTTAAAGTAGTTTGACCATAGGAGAAGATTAAGTTGTTTATTTGTACTCATTTGTTTAAACAAATAAAACTTTTTTACTCTTAATGATTTGACTGTCAGATATCTATAAACTTGTTACCACGACATCATTCTTATTTGTTAAAAATAAAGTTTAAACAGTTTTAAAAGAAATAAAAAGTTTTTTTTTTATTATTAATAATATAATGTAACATGTATATAATGTAACATGTATAATACATAAGCCATACAGCAATTAGAAGTTTATTTAAAAGATATTCAAAGTCTATTTTAGTCAAGGAAGTCTATTTTAGTCGAGGAAGCTGCACTTTCTTGTTTTTGTTTAACACGATGAACTTTATAAATCCAAAACAGTTGATAACCTGTTGTTGTTTTTTTGTTGTTGTCTTATTGAATTTAGTATTTAATTAACACGTTCATTTTTTTATTTTCATCTTTTTTTTTTTTTTATTTAATTTATAACACATACAATACAGCTAAGTACTAATATTTTAATTTATTTATGTAATATTTCAGTCTGAATAGTTCAGACCGTCATCAGACGTAAAATTAAATACAATAAAACAAAATTAATAAAACAAACATAATTTATTTTTTATTTCATCAGTATCATCAAAATATGTAAACTTAGTGAGGCCATTGTCCTGTGTTTTTCACGTCACGTAAAAATAATAAAATAGTTATTTCTTGTTTAACCTTTTATTGTATTTAATTTTACGTCTGATGACGGTCTGAACTATTCAGACTGAAATATTACATAAATAAATTAAAATATTAGTACTTAGCTGTATTGTATGTGTTATAAATTAAATAAATAAATTATCAAGTACTACAAGAAATGTCATTAAAACAATTATTTTCATCTTTATTTTATTTAGAGTTTAAATAAAACATTTCCAATTTCAGTTTTTATATTAACCATTTTATTTACAATTTAAATAAAATGTTGTATAGTCCATTTTTATCTTAATTATTTTTATTTAAAATTTAAATAAAACGTTCATTTTGCCTTTTTTATTTTAGTTTATTCAGAATTTAAATCAATAATTTGTTTTTTTGATTTTGTTTAAACTATTTTATTTACAATTAAAACTGAAGTGTTCATTTTGCAGTTTTAAATTATTTAAATTAGCAAATAAAATTAAGTTTTAAAATTTCGCACGCCAACCTAATAATGCTTGCATTAAAATACAAGTGGTGAAGAATGTCGACATTAGCTAAAGTTAGAAGAATGTAGATGTTAGCCAGTAAATATTAAGATGTTTATCAACAACAAAAAAGATTTGTTGAAATCAAAACTCAAAAGAAAATAATCAAAAATTTTTATACCTTTTATATATAAATATTTCATAAAAAAGCATCTTAATCAAATAGATTTAAGAAAAGTAATATTTTCACCACAACAACAATAAAAACTAGTTTGGCAAAAAAGTGCCCACCTCAGGCACTGCCATGTCAGGAGTTAGGTTGGAATGGCTTAATGCCCTACCTTAATTAAAAATTGCTGAGAGAGTTTTCTTAACATTTTAGAGAGTTTTCTTAACATTTTAGGTAGATGTTAAAGAAGAGTAGAAAGAAAGAAAAGTAGAGAGTGTTTTCATCATTCAAATTTTATCTTTAAGAATTTTGTTTTTATTTTATGAGCAGTGCAATTTCCCAATTAGCCATATAAAAAAGTTATCAACTATAATTTATTTTTTTTAATAAAAAAGTTATTAACTATAATTTATTTTTTTACTAGTATAGTTATGATTTTTAAAATTATACGTTTTTAATTATTTAGACGTGAACATCAAGGAGAATACTATAACGATGATCAAGATATTGACAAAGCTAATTATGAGTATAATTAACATATTTATTGGATTAATTACATCCACAATGTTTTTGCGTTATTCATGTTGTTGTTGATGTTGTTGTTGTGTGTGTGCATGTGTGTGTGTGTGTTTGAACAAAAGGATCTTCCTTTTTTTAATGTTTATTTATTTCATAAATCTATTTGAATTCATCAGATTGCAGTTGCAAGTGTAAGAAACAAACAAAGATTTTATTTATAAATGCAGTTTTTTATTATATATTCAAGGACACCAGGAGGGGGAGGGGTGGTTTTAGCTTTCCAATAATTTTAGGTTCTTAAACTATTATTAAAAAAAAAAATTTACTAAAGAATAATTCTGTTATTTAATGTTTTCGAAAAATTTGAAATTTTAGAAAATTTAAAACTTTTAGTTCTCTTTATTGCCATATTTTCCCATTTTTATTTTTTGGGTATTGTTTTTAAGTGTTTTTCAAAAAATAACAATAATAATAATAGAGGTGCTGTAAATCTATGAGACATATAATTACATAGAATTTCGCTCAATAACAGTCGTTACAGAAGTAATAATTAATAACTCTTAAAATTAAAAAACCAGTTTAAGAAGCAAATTGTTAAAACAGTTTGCTTCTTAAACTAGTTGATATTTACAGACTCTACTACTTCATTACTTTAATGATTTCTGTTATTTGCTATTTGATTCTTGAAGAAATGTCTTATAAACTGGTACTTTCTATACTTTGAAAGTTAATGGTGAGTTGTGTATTGATGGCTTCTTTTTTTAAAGTTTTGAAATTCCAGTGATGTATGAAAGTTTGTTTTATCCAAACTATTTACTATTTTGAACATTTGTATTAGATAGCCTCTTTTTCTGCGGTATTCAAGTGTTATTTTATTGCCAAGTTTCTCTCATAACTATTAAATCCTTTCGTTATTTTTCAGTCATTAAATTTTGTTGCTTTATTTTGAATTTTTTCTGATGCTTTGATTTCACTTTTTTTAGAAAAATTCCATATAATTGCGCCATATTCTGAGTGTGGGCAAACCAGGGATTGTTATAAAAGTCTTTTCAATATCATATCCATATATACTGGGAAAAATATTTAATATGACCCAGTAGACAATTGGCTTTGTTTGCTGAATATGATATGATGGCTCCAATTTAAATCAATTATAACAAATATTCAAAGATCCTTTTTCATTGTAGTTTCTGACAAAACAATGTTGTCTATTAAATACACTTATGTCTTTTGATTTTAATCATCCAGTCATCCGTCCATTCTTCCAATAAGTTAATATTGTTTTGAAGGTTTTAGTTATTGAGTTCTTATTTAAAGATCAATAATAGTTTTGTATCATCTGCAAATAGTTTACTTATGCATGTAGTCTTAATAAGCAGATTGTTAATAAATATGATGAATAATAATGGAGGAACCCCACTTTCAACAAATTTTCAATTCAAAATAAACTTGCCTACAATTCTCATATATATAGATATCACACAATGCTAAAGTATTGTTTCATATTCCTTCCTTAAAGCATTACCCACAACAACTGCCTCACACAGAGCCAGCTGGTGGCTTTCAGGGAGCCCCCCGTGCAAAGTATGTATAAAGGGGGGGGGGGAGCGAAATAATATTTTCTGTTAAAAAATTATTTCTCTTTTTTTTGAATTTGCCGTCTAAATGAAATAAAATTCATTGAAGGAGGGCGAGAAGTGTCACCTCCAACATTAATGGATTTTATCAATTGAAACCACGCCCTTCACACCAGTCTTGCTTGAAAACTGCAAAATTAAGTGTTTGGATTGGTTTGCAGTGGTAATAAAAAAGATAAAAATAACTCATAACATATATTTGCGAATTTTTTTTTAATTCTCCAAAAAAAAAAATGGGGCCCCTAAAATTTGAAAAAAATGTGGGGCCCCAGTGCGTTGCAACCTTTGCACCCCCTACAGACCGACCTGGCATCACAATCTCTTTTGTGTTAAGTAAATTAGTTAAGAAATTCTTGAATTTTTTTGTGTTTGAATTTTTTTTATTTTTTTTTATTTTTTGAAGCTCATATATATATATATATATATATATATATATATATATATATATATATATATATATATATATATATATATATATATATATATATATATATATATATATATACTAGGTTGGTTGAAAAGTTCGCGGAGCGGCACCTATGTTGCAGTAGTAGAAACAAATTTATAACTGTATTAAACGTATTCATTCTTCGTATGAACGCATAAAAAATTTCAAGTCGATATGTCATTTCAGTCTTTGTTTACAAGCTATTGAAATTAGACGTGTCATAGTATTTTTTAAAATGGAAAATATTGAACATCGTGCTGTAATAAAATTCTTTGTGAAAAAAGGTTTAAAGCCCATGGAAATTCATAATGAAATGGTAAATGTGTTGGGTGATGATGCTCCTTCAAAAACAACAGTATGCAAATGGGCTGCGGAGTTTCAACGTGGGCGTTCAAGCCTTGAAGATGACCCTCGCTCTGGACGTCCAAAAAGTGCTACTACTGAAGAAACGATTAATGCTGTGCATGACATGGTTATGGATGATAGACGATTGACCAAACGTGAAATTGCTGAGGCTGTGGGCATCTCAGATGAACGGGTATTACACATCTTGCACGATGAATTACGTCTGAGAAAGCTGTTGGCAAGATGGGTGCCGCATTCGCTAACTCTGGATCAGAAACGCACTCGAGTAAAACTTTCTCAAGAACATTTGGCCCGTTTTCAAAAGAATAAAACAGATTTTGTGCGTCGATTCGTAACCATGGATGAGACTTGGGTTTACCACTATGATCCGAAGCTGCGACAACAAACTGCAGAGTGGACAGAACCCGGTTGTTCAGCTCCGAAGCAAGTGAAGGCGTCAAAATCGTCAAAGAAGGTTATGGCATCAGTTTTTTGGGATGCGAAAGGAATTTTATTAATAGATTACCTTCAAACCGGTAAAACGATAACAGGTGAATATTATAAAAATCTTTTGGACCAGTTGGATAAAAAAATTTGTGAGAAAAGACCTGGTTTGCTGCATAAAAAAATCATTTATCACCAGGACAACGCACCTGCTCATATCAGCGATGTTGCAAAGGCGAAATTGGTCGAATTAAAGTACGAACGCTTGGAACATCCACGCTATTCACCAGATCTGGCTCCGTCCGACTTCCACCTCTTTCCACATCTCAAAAAATTTCTACGTGGAAAGCGTTTCTCATCACATGAAGAAGTCATTGCAGCCGTAAATGGGTATTTTGAAGGCCTTCCGGAATCGCACTTCAGAGATGGGATACATGAATTGGAGAATCGTTGGAAAAAGTGTATTGCTCTTAAGGGAGAATATACTGAAGAATAAAGTCATTTTTTGAATCATAAAATGGTTTTTTCATTTCCGCTCCGCGAACTTTTCAACCAACCTAGTATATATATATATATATATATATATATATATATATATATATATATATATATATATATATATATATATATATATATATATATATATATATATATATATATATGTATATATATATATATATATATATATATATATATATATATATATATATATATATATATATATATGTATATAGATATGTATATATATATGTTTTTTGTGAGTTAGCATTGAAAAAAAAGTGATGATTTGATTTAAAATTATGTTTAAAGTATTACTTTTAAAGCATAATATAATTTTTCTTTTAAAAGGTTCAGTAAGTGAACTTTTTAAAATAAAAATTTTATTGGTCATTAGAGAAAAAAATTTTTTAATCACCATTAAAAATATTAATTAATAATTATTTAATAAATTAATAAATATCTCAATCAAGAGTTTAAAGTAAAAAGTAGAACATCAAGCTTTTTATACACTCATATGTTTATACACTCATATGTTTATACAATTATATGTTTATACACTCATATGTTTATACACTCATGTTTATACACACATATGTTTATATTTACTTCATAAAAAAATAAGTCCAAGAAATTGTTATCTAACTAAAGGTGATTAAATAATAGTTAGCAACTTTTTTTTTTTAATGAGGTTTACCATGTCTTTTTTACTAGAATTATTGGACATAAATTCTCTGCTAGCAATTTGACCTTGAATGTAAGTATTTCTTCTGGCCGGACCAAAGTGATGACAAGCACTTTCAGATGTCATTTTTACACATCTTTCAACTGATTGTGTATGAGAGACTTCGTTACTTTCATTGGAGTGTTATTAAATTCTTTTACTGCTTCAGTTAATAAATGACATGTTAAAGGTGGTTCAGTAATATCACTCCAGTCTATAAGTTCAGACAAACAGGTTGCTTTCATAATGATGGCTGGAGTCTTTCGAATCCTAAAAGATCTCTAAAATGAAGTGCATCATTCCCTGCTCCTCTTATTTGAACTATTTTATCAACTGCTTCTTTTTGTTTATCTTCAATTTAACTACAAAGCATACTTTGCAAAACTGATTCAGGGTGAGCATACTATTTAAAGGTCACCTGTTAAACCATGTTTAGATTCTGCAAAACCTTAAAGCAATAGTTAGCCATCTACTATGACAAACAGGACCAATTTCTAGTAATGCAAGTCTCTTAGGCAGAACTCCAGTTTTAGTAGATGTCACAATCTATCACAGTTTTCTTCGCAATTATTCTCTAAGCAAAGAAGTATTTTACAATTGCATGTAAACAAATCAAAAAGTTTATCAAGTTTTTCCATATATCTATATCTAATTGACGAGGCAACATTGCTATTACTAACTTTAACAGCCAATAACCCCAAGTCTTTTACTTTACATTTGATTTTTCTTTCAGAATTAATAACTGGATTTACAAATTGAGAATTGTATCAAATTTCCTTTAATAATATCCTTTTCAAGCTGATCTACAGTATAGTTTCTGTAATCTTTTCCACTAACCTAATATAGGCCATGCTTGAGAATATCTCCCTTAAATATAGGCCATACTTAAGAATAACTCCCTTAAATAAAGGCCATAATTGAGAATAACTCTGGAAGTTGTGAGTTCTAATGGAAGAAACGCTGAAATCTTCCAATCAAGTTATTAAGTTGATAAGCTGGTTTACTTCTTGTGTTGGTGGTATGTGACATTTATATATTAATTTTTTTTTTTAAAAGATTCAAAAAATTGTTTATGCTCTAAAAATATTTTACTCTATCTACAAATAAAAAAATAAGTCAGAGGCATTTTACTAATACAGTAATACTTTTTAAAAAAATCGAGCTATCTTTCTTTAAAATAAATAATTTTATTTATATAATTTTTTATTATATAAATAAATTTTTCAAAATAAAAAAAAAAAAAAAAAAAAAAAATATATATATATATATATATATATATATATATATATATATATATATATATACATATATATATATTTATATATATAGACACAAGTTTTTGAAAGGTATTAAAGTTTGATAACAAAGCACTATAAATTGTAGATTTATAATGCTTTATAAATAAAATGTAAAACACACAGTTCATCATTCTTACATAATCCAAAAATAATATAAACATTGCAAAAAGGAGATTGTATATTCAAAACATAATTGTTATTTACACATTGTTTGTTAAATTTAATTTTGAAATGCACCATTTTGCGGACAAAGTTAAAGTTTACTACATGGTTAGGTAAATAAATGCGATCTTCAGAGCTAATGGCAAACTTCCAAAAAAATAATAGTTTAAGAGTGTTTAAAAGTAGCTTAAAAGATTTTTTTTTTTTTTTTTAATTATTTTCATATTTTGCATACTTTACAAATTTTACATTATATTTTTTATACCATTGGTCTGTTATCGTGTAATTTAATGAGATGTAAATACATATATATATATATATATATATATATATATATATATATATATATATATATATATATATATATATATATATATATACACACACAAAATAAAATATACATACTTTTTATTTTTAAAATTGTTTTTAATCTTTATTTATTTTTTTACTATTTATATCTGATGTTATGGAAATATTTCTGAAGTTAGCAATTTTTTTAATGATGTTAGCAAATGTATAGTTACTCCAAAATAACTGGGATACTATATATAACTCTTCTCTATGGAAATTTGATGAAAAGCATCAGTTAAAAATCTAGTGTGATTTCAGTGTGAGAGGCATTAAATTATTTATATAAATTCTAAGACATTTTTTAAGTATAAATGTCACAAGAACGACCATTAAGATGGGGAATTTTTGGATGTGGTAAAATTTCTTTTGATTTTTGTATTGCGTTATCAACACTATCAAAAGAGAAACATTCTATAGCCCATGTAGCAGCAAGAGACATTAGCAAAGCTGAAGAATTTGCTCAACACTTTAATGTAAAATCAATCAGTGGGAATTATGAAGATGTTGCAAAAGATCAAGGTGTTGATATAATATACATTGGTACTATCAACCCAACTCATAAATCCTTGAGCATTTTAGCTATGAGTAATGGGAAACCTGTGCTTTGTGAAAAGCCTGTATGTATGAATTCTGCAGAGTTAGACGAAGTTTTGACATGTGCAAAGAAACATAATGTTTTTTTTATGGAGGTAAATTTTTGTTTAATAATTGTTTTATTACTATTTATGTTTTATTATTTTGATAGAGTATTCATTTATTTTATACCTTTTTATTTAACTTATGCAATAAAACAAAACAAAAATGTTTTAACTTATGCATTAAACAAAAAAAATATATTTTAATTTATGCACTAAAATAAAAAGTCTCTCAAGTCTCGTTAATGTTAAAAATTCTTATTGTACTTTTTCAAACAACTAAATTAAATTGTTTTGCTGTAAAAATGTTATAAAACTGTTCCTGCTCTTTTTTTTCCAGCTCTACTATTTCAAAACCCCATTAGTTAGAAACAGATTATTAAATTGGTTTTTAATTAAAAAAAAAGTTGATTAAAAGCTTGATTTATTTGTTTATATTCCTAAGTTTTAGTTCATACTTTTAAAGGATGTATATATGTATGTGTATATATATATATATATATATATATATATATATATATATATATATATATATATATATATATATATATATATATATATATATATATATATATATATATATATATAATATATATATATATTTGACTTCAAAATTTGTCATACTTTATCTTCTTTTTTCTGATATTTTTTTTTTTTTTCCTTTTAAATAATTTACGTTAGAATTTGTAAAAAGTTTCATTTTCATATATCAGTTTTTTTATGTATTTTATATTCAGTTATTTTTATTTTGTTTAAATTTTTTGTTTGAATTATTTTGTATTATATTAGTTTAAGTTATAGCAAAAGTTTCTGCTTTGTACAAACAATGAATGAAAAAGTGTGAACTTTTTTATAGAACTTTTTTGTAGTTTATTTATAGAATGTATTGTTTACTATTTTCATAGTGAATAGAAGAAGAAATATGAACAGAAAAGTAGAATAAATTAAAGGAAACTTTATAAAATTATCAATAGCTGCTTTGTAAAAACATCATAATATATTTAATTTACTGTTTTGGAATAACACTCTTCTTTAACTTAATAGTAGTTTTTAAAGAAAATTTAAGAATTTCACATGTTGTAATATAATTATCTATAAATAAATATGTTATAGTTAAGTCTATTAATTCTTCTAAAATAAATTTGCTGAATGATCAAACACACAGTAAATGCCTGAGGGAAAAATGAAGTACATTAGTTATAAATCAAATCAAATCAAATATATTCTGAAACAAGTTGTTTAACATTTCAAGGATATTTACAATAGTACGAGTACTAATATAAAGCAAATACCTAATACAAAATATCAATATAGACATTTAGAAATATATTAATAGTAATAATAATATTATATTAATAGTGTAAATACTACTAACAATTAAAACAACAATAAACATTAAATCAATATATATATATATATATATATATATATATATATATATATATATATATATATATATATATGTATATATATATATATATATATATATATATATATATATATATATATATATATATATATATATATATATATATATATATATATATATATATATATATAGCAATAATAAGTAATACTAATAGTAAAATAGAAAGCAAAATAAAAATAATAAAAAAGTTAATATTACTATCATCTGAAAACAAAATAATAATGATAAGAATAATAATCATGTTATAAAATTCAATCATAATAAAAAAGAATAATACTCATAATAAAAAATCTTTAATAACGAAGATAATATTACCAATAAAAATGAGATAAATAGAAATGAAAGAAAATAAATTGATGATGACGATAGATAAAGATTCAAGAAAATCCTCGTCAATAACAGTGATAATATTAACAATGAAGTTAAGATAAATAGAGACATTTGAAAGAAAATGACGATAAATAAAGATTCAAGAAAATCCTCATCAATAACAATGATAATATACTAACAATAAAAATAGCAAAATGAAAAAAATAGATATATAAAAAGAAAAGCAGAATAAATAACCAAGGAATTAAGGATAAGAAAAGACTAGGTAGATAGAATAAATAGATAAAGAATTTAGAGTTATTGAGGATAGGAGAATGAAAAGCCAGAGGATTACTAACTTATAAATATTATAGGGAGTTTGGAGTTTGACTGCAGAGTTATTTATTTGTATTTATATATATAGTGTAATAGTCTATGAGTTCTCCTAATTTTTGACAAAGAAAAAATGTAACATTAGATTGTTGAATTTATTTTAAACAAAATTCAATAACAAAAGAAAAAAAGTAAAACTTACAAAAACTGTCAACTGGTATTCAACTAAGTTAACAGTATAATGTTATGGAATTAATATTTTGAAACAATTATGAATGAAAAGAATTACATGTGAGATTTATTTAAAACAAGATAAATAAGTCAAAATTCTAATTTTGTTCAAAGAGTCGGGAAGTTGAGTCAAAATTTGTGATATTAGATACTTTATAATGTTTATTAACAAAAGAATGTGTATAAAAATAACTTTTTACAAATGCAACTTTCAGCGCTAAAGATTTTCTGTATCATCGATCCTGTATATATATTTTACAGAATAAAATTATTTTGTGCGCAGTTATTGCCACAGCAAGACCATCAAAAATGGTTTTTATGCGGCAACATTTTTTATGAAAATTTAGCAAAAAAGTGAAACAAAGTTTAATTATTAATTATTTAACTAAAATGTTTATACTTTCAAAATAATCTTTTAAAAAGACGTTGGACATACCTTTTAAACAACAAATGAATTTGAAAAAGTCAAAGTAAAAAACTTCATAGCTATGCACAAAAAAAAATTGTAATTTTAAATACGCATATAAATAAAAAAATATTATACATTAAATATGATTTAATAATTTGTCGTAGTTAAATGTAAAGTTGAAAAAGTTCTCAAACAAAAGAACAGGAAAAAAACCAAGTTTATTAAAAACAAGAACAAGAAAGTTTATTAAAAACAAATGTAAAAAAAAAATAAAAAAAAAAAATATAGCGAGGTCATTCAAAAGTTAGTAAAATTGTTTTTAAAAGTTGCCATTTGTTCTCTAGCTTATTTTCTTGAAATTTAACAGATTATTACTGTTATTTTTAACTTTTTAATTAATAGACATGACCTTAATCACAATGTTATTTAGTTTTAAAACCTTATTTTTTTATTTTTTTAAATAAATTTTGAAAATATATTTCAAAAAATAATAAAGTAAATTAATAGCTGGATGTGCAGTGATAGCATTAGCACTTTCTGACTGTCAATCAGCAGATCCCAATTCATATTGTTTTTGCCCTAAGAAAAATCAGTTTCTATCATAGAAAGGACTGGCCACTACTGAACACAACATCTGAAACATCTAAGTTACTGAACTGAGTTTTTATACTTGTATGACTAGTTTTGGACAAACATTCAAAAACATTTTCTAAAACATTCTAAAACCTTCTGAAGATTTCTTGAAAAGTCTAGAATATTCTAGAAAACTCTTGGACTTTCTGGGTGATTCTAGCAGTTCAGAAATATTTTAGAAGTATGCTCAGTATTCAATGTGATTTTAAAACTTTCTCGAAACACACATATTTCAAAATATTGTTGTCCTGGTAACAGTTGTTGTGGCTTTATTTTTAACTTTTATTAGTTTTTGGTGAAATGGGAAAGAAAAAGGCACTTTCAGAAAATGTTCAAAATTTTAAATGTTGTTTATACTTTTTATAATCTTTTCTTTCACTTAACATGCGCTCTTTCTCAACTTTCTTTGTCGACCAAGGGACACATAAAAAGTAACATTTTATATAAAGATTTGCTTCTAAACTGCTTGCGGGTTTGATTATTATTAAAAAATGCTTTTTGTTAATGGAAAAATGTTTTTTTGCTTAAAATCGGCTAATATTGTGCTTGTGGGTTTGTATCTTTTTTTTAAATCTTTTTTTAATACTTTAAAAATTTTTTTTTTTTAAATAAACTTGAAAAATGTAACTTACAACATAATTTTGTCTAATATTAATATTAAAATATACTACATATGTGTGAGGACAATGCAAATGAAATATTTGTACGGTATTTGTATGTTATTTTACTTTTATATAAAAAAATTTTATCCTTTAAAAAAATATATTTTGCTCCTTTAATCCAGGAGGCTTTATAAGCGCAAACTGGCATAAGTGCAAACTAGCATAAGTGCGAGGCGTTGCAAAAACTCTCACAAGTGCGAAATGGCATAAGTGCAAAGTATAATAAGTTGCGTTATGCCAATAATTGAATTTTATTCAGCGCACTTGTGCAAGTTTGCACTTATCACATTTTGTAATTATGCCAATGTTTCCAAATTCTTTTGGCTCACTTATGCCAGTTTGCTCTTGTGCCAGCTTTTGTAACTGCTTTGCACTTATGCCAGTTCGCAATTATGCCATTTCGCATATATGCCAGTTCATACTTACTCCATTTGCACTTATAAAATTTGCACTTATTCAGTCGTTCCCTTTAATCAGGAAATACTCCGTTTCTTTAATAAGGATAAAAAGCTCGATTTAATTTCAAATGTCTTGACATTGCTAAATATCGTGACTCTCTGTAAAGACTAAAAAGAAGAAAATGAAATATAGCAATATTATTTGCTAAAAAATTTAATATTTTGTAATCTTTTCACTCACTTATATAATTTTTTTCCTTATTTTAATTGTTGTCAATGACGCTCTGAAATAAAAACATTTTATAGAAAAGTTTGCTACTAAATTGCTTGCTAGTTTGCTATCAATAGAAAATGTTAATCTTTTCATTTTTAAAATAGGCTAATATTGCTTGTGGGTTACTATTTTTTTTTTTTTTTAAATCTTTTAAAATACTTTGATTAACAAAAAAAATTTTGTTTCATACTTATATATAGTAACTCTTTGTAAAGACTAAAAAGTAGAAAATAAAATATAGCAAAAACATTTGCTTAAAAATGGTATGTTTTTATATAAATTTTGCGCAGATCTGTCAATCTTTAGTTTACTGAACTATTAAATTTAAATTAAAAAGTTTATTTTCTACTTTTTAGTACAAAAAAGATTTAATTTTTTAGCAAATGTTTTTGCTATATTTTATTTACTTAAGAAAAAAAAAAAAAATGTTACTAAACACTGTGTTTTTCTTATTGTTATTATCTGTTTTATTTTAATTTAAGTAGAATAAAACAAAATCAGTTATTATGCACATAATTTCCTTAGGGAATGTGGACAGCATTCTTCCCTTTATATCGCGAGCTCTTATCAAACATTGACAGTGGGGTTTATGGAAATGTCAATGTTGTAACTTTAACATTTGGTATTCAAGACATGTTTAAAGATCGACTTTCTAATCCAGAGCTTGGTGGAAGTGTGTTGTTTAACATAGGCGTTTATACTTTATTTGTTACTGATATGTTATTTCATGGACTTCCTGTAAAACAGCTTTCTGCTTGTGGACATATTGATCCAAGTACTGGAATAGACAGATCGGAAAGTGTCTCATTTCTTTATGAAGGGAATAAAACTGCTCAAATTTTGATTGATGGAGGTAATGAACTTTTTTTTATATATTTTAAAAAATAACAGGTTAAGACTGGCATTTTTTATAAATTTTGACTTGGTCAAAATTTTTGAAAAGTTTGACTTATTGTTACATTCCCATCAAGTTCACAGTTTGACTTGGTGTTACGTTCCCATCAAGTTCACAGTTTGACTTGGTGTTATGTTCCCATCAAGTTCACAGTTTGACTTGGTGTTACTTTTTTTAGTGTTAATCTATAAATTGTGGAATTTTGGAATATCCTAATTTATTTCTTATTAGTAGTCCAGAAGCCTTTTTATATTTTTAGAGCTCCTGGATACCAAAAACTAGAAGGAAGTAATCTTTTTCTGATTTTCAAACAATAAAATCATATCTGGAGTCCTTTTTGGGATGCCGCATCCCTTACATATATATATATATATATATATATATATATATATATATATATATATATATATATATATATATATATATATATATATATATATATATATATATATATATATATATATATTAGATTAAAATCTAAATATGTACCTCATAATAAATATCTCTCACAATTGTCTTTAAAAAAATTGCTCAAAATATATTTACAGTTGAATTAAAAGTTATCAAACTAATCAACCACGCAATCATCACTACATGTTCCAGAATTATCCATATGGAATTGTATTAGTTAATGTATGCACTGAAACTCAAGCCTATCTCTATTTGTATATATTTATGTATACATGCTTGGTCAGGGAGCGAGTGTGAGTTAGTTGTGACAACTTGGCCATGGCTTTTTAGATGTATTGAGAATATTTCAAAAATGTGCCAAAAAGCTAATTATAAAAGGAAAGAACTTTTAACAAAAAAAAACAACTTAACAAATAATAAAACAAAATAAATTACGTTTAGGATTAATAATTTCTAAGTTTTGCTCTTTTATGATTTTTTTATAATGTTAGGCTCTTTTATATAAAATAACAACTATTAATATTTGTTTAATAAGGAAAAATCTTTTTTCAGTTTATCCAAGAGTATAATATAATTTCTTTTATTTATGTATTTATGTTTTATTTCAATAAGATTCTAATAAATTTGTTTTTATAACATCAATCATACAAATTGATTTGAAAGATTTACAGTTATCATAAAAAACACATACTTTTGAAATAATAAAAAATCAATCTATTCAATCTATATTTATATAATTTACAAAACTTTATATAATTTTTGAAAAAAAAAAATTTTTTTTCTTTTTATAAACAATCAATAAAAGTAAATCATCTCTTTGTTTAAAAGTGTTTTACTAAAATAAATTACAAAAGATTAATGTTACGAAGTTAATTTTTAGTGTATTGAAACTCAATTTTTCAGACATAAATTGAAACATACATAAATTTGAATTTTCATAAAACATCTAAAAAGCTGCGGTCAAGTTGTTGCAACTAAATATTATATGCATTCTCAGATCTATTTCTGACAAATTTCTTAAAAAGTATGATCTCAGTTGCACTTGTTCCGTTACTAAAAGTAGGGCTAACCAACAAACTTTTGAGAATCCTAATATTTTTGATAAAATGATAAAACAAATATTTTATTTAAATTCTAAAAAAAACAGTTAAAATAGCTACAGAATAAAGAACATTTTATTTAAATTCTAAAAATAATGTTTTATTTAAATTTGAAATAAACTAGTTAAAATTAAAACAGCAAAACAAACAACAAAAACTATTAAGCAATTAATCTTGTTTAAAATAAACTTTTAAATTTCTGAACAAATTAATTTAAAAAATACAATACCAGAACAAAAATTTTTAAAGTTTAAAGTTAAAAAACTAAAATTAAAACAAAATTTTTAAACAAATTCAAAATAAAATAGTTATAATAAAATCAAAAAAACAAATATTTTATGTTCTAAATAAAATATTACAAAAAAAAACAACAGAAAAACTAACGTTTAATTTAAATTCTTAATCAAATAATTAAAAATAAAAATGGCAAAACAAATAAACATTTGTTTTGCTGATAAATTGACAATTGTTTGGTGTACATTTTGAATATAAAAGAGTCAGGTCAGCAAATTTGTTTTTGACTCCACCATCAGGGTACTTTGTAAATTACATGGTGATGTAATGTGGAATACAAGTAATGTGGAATGGTGGTAAGTAGTGACGTAAATTTTCCGGTAAAATTTGATTCAAAATTTACCGGTAAAATTTACTGGTAAATTTTAAATCAAAGAGGGTAAATTTTACTTAAAAAAATATATATATATAAATTTTAAATCAAAGAGGGTAAATTTTACTTAAAAAAAATTTTAAAAAATAAAAATAAAATAAGTAAACAAAAATTTCAAAATTTACCTGACGGTAAATTTTTAAAAATTTTCATTAAGTTTTATCTTCGCAACACTAGTGTTAAGTAATGTGGAATGGTGATAAGTAATGTGGAGTACACCTATGATACGTGAGAAGTGAGCGTCATTTTTTAACACAATTTTTAACACAAGATCTACATATATATACAAATATAAAAGTATATTTAGATTAGCAATCTGACATGCTGAAATAGGGAACATGTAGGGATTTTAGTACATACATCAACTGGTATAGGAAGAACATGAAAGGGAGTTGCTACATCAACTGTAGATTTAGGTTGGGGTAGCAATAAATTTTTTTCTTATTATTCTTTTTTTTTTTCTCTTCTTTTTGCAAAAACATTGTATAGATCTAAAAGTCTTCAAATGAATGTATTTTTTTTTCTTCATAAGAAATAAAATGCTACTTGCTAGACAATTAGTTATCACCTGCAAAATGTGTCTGTTAGAGGAATATCTGTTAAGTACAGCAGATAGGGTAGGACATTCCATTAAAGGGCTTTCACAAGTATACATATTTATTTTTATTAATAATTGTAGAAAATTTTTGGTTTTAGTCATAGTTTTATTAGTTGTAATGTTTTGTATCTTAATCAGCAAAACAATTGTCAACAACGTTTTTCTGATATTTATTTTTGTATGAGTTCGCGCACGACACAAGGTACGTGTGCTAGTTGGGACACACTGAGCTTACTTTAACAAGTAAGCTCAGTGTGTCCGTAAGCTCACAAGTTTATATCCTGATCTGATATTTATTCAAACATCTTAATGTTTTCTAGAAAAATTGTTAACAAGAACATTGCAAAGAACATTTGACCAATTTTTTAAACTCTTTTTTAGTATATATTTTAATTGCTTTTTTTTATTGAAACATATTATTTTATAAATATTGTTTTGTGTTGCATTTCTTCCTATTTTTATATATAAAAAATTCATTCTTTACTCTTCTTCTTTGTGAAACTTTTTTTCTAATTTGAAAAGTTTAAAAATCGCATTAAAATACAAGCAAGATAGTTATTATAAAAAAATTATTATAAGTTATTATAAAAAATTATTATAAAAATTATTTTAAGTTATTATAAAAAAGTTGTTATAAAAAAATTATTATAAGTTATTATAAAAAAAGACTTTTGTAGTTAAAACTTGAATGAATGAGTTCAATACTTTTAAAACTTGAATGAACTAGTTCAATACTTTTAAAATTGTTTTTGTGTTATGTATTTCAAAATTAAATTTTTATAACAACTTATTAAAAAAGATTTTATTGAAGTATTCAAAATATTGAATATATTTAACATACTAAAAAGTATGTTTTGTTTTTGTTCAAAAGGAAAACCATAAAAAAAAGCATTTTAGTAATACTTTGTAAAACCTTCCTTCTCTTGTAAGCATTTACTCTCTTCGCCATTAAATTTACAAAATTTTGAGGTATTTCTATAGGCACAAGCAATTTCCTTATTTCAAGCAATTTCCTTATTTTAATTTTTAATTGTACAACAATTAAAATTTTTTTTCAATTATTGAATATTTCATCAATTATTCCAAAATGATGAACTAATCATGACCATAAGTTTTCTATACAATTTAAGTCAGGGTTGTTAGTAGGTAATCACATTATTGAAATTTAGTTGTCTTCAAATTATTGTTTATTTTTATTTGTCTTCATATTTTTGCTGTGTTACAAAATGCACCATCTTGTTAATATATGATATTGCTGTTTATATATATATATATATATATATATATATATATATATATATATATATATATATATATATATTTAATATATCAATTGATGGAAGAAGGCAATTATCTAAAATTTCATTATATCTATCAGCTTTAAGTCGACCTTCAAATAATTGATAGCATCCAAGTCCTGCATAATTCATGCAGGTCCAAATGTCTACCGCTATATTGATTGGTTCTTTTTAATGTACAATTCAAATCAAACTATCTTGAGGTAATTGTCATAACATAAAATGATGTTTTCACATAATTACCTCAACATTTATTTTGTCTGAGAATATAACATTTCACCACTTGCAATCAGGCCAACTTTTATGTTTAATGACAATTTTTTTTTGTGTTTCATTAAGTGAATTAAAAAATATTTATCTCTTTGTGTTGTTATAGTTGGCCAACCAGGTTGTTACCAATCCTTAATGTCACTTGTTTCAGTATAACATTTTAAAATATGTGCATCAACCAACTATGCAATACTAAACCTATTGGCTGTTTGAAAATGAAATAACTCATGGCTTCTAAAGAAAATCATTAATATAATACATTAATTTTGAAAATAAAGCATTGACCCTTAATATTTGACTGACATAAAAAATAAAAATAAAATAGTAGATGTTATAAAGTTACGTATGATTATGCATGCAAAATAAATTTTAAAGAAGCAACATGTCATTTAAATAGTAAACATAATACTTTTTAATTAGAACTAATAAAATATTGAAAAAGTTTAGAAGTTTTCAAACAGGTTATTTATAAAAAAAAATGAACTCTAATTTATGACCCAAAAAACTTTAACACAAAAAGGTTATTGTAAAACATAGAAACGAGGTCAGCAATTTTTTGACAACCTCAAGCACTGTTAGGTCAGTAGATAAGTCAGTATTGCCAAATATCTACC